CGTGAACTATAAGCGCCCTTTTCGCGACTTCGAGTCGCCCCAGCCTTGCAACTCACCAGTTTGGATCTTTCAATGAGTCAGTAGCCCAGGAAGCACAATATTGACTTATAAAAGATGTAAAGGTGAAATGAGTGACAATTAGTTGTCACAAAAAATTGGACAAAATTATTCAGGATGTAAAGGAATCAAATGAGATAGGAGTGCTGATGGACTTGATAATTGATAAACTTGTCATGACAGGTATCTACTGATCTGCAAGGGGGGAGACACCATCACAAGATGATTTCGCCAAAAGTTACGTTTGATGTTTGATAACGCTACATTGATAGACTTCCCACTGAAACAAGTCCATGAGAAGAAAAAAGTCTGCGGAGCCTGGACGCAACACCTACTACCTCCAACCATCTACGAACCCTTTTCAGAGGATTCATAGATGGTCGGGAATAGTGGGTGTTGTGTACGCACCACAGTTTTGATAAAGTCCAAGGCGGCGGCGCGAATTTGACATTTCCGGCGTTCACCTACAGGGTAAAAGCATCACAACGCCTTTAACGAGTATCCGGGCTGAAAACCATGAAAACCGTAATTTTTGCCCAAATTTACTACAGAGAGCTTCAACCATACTTTTTCCAGGTGCTCAGATCGTTTCTGTTCTTAGATAATCCAGGAATAAAGTTCAACTCAGGAAATTGCTTTAAAAGATAAGGAACATCCACAAAAGATACGCTCACAGAAACATATCCAAAGTCTAGATACAAGTCAACTCAAATTAGTGGAATGCACAAAAGCTCAAAACTTTCAGCGCATACCTGTATAAAATCAAAAATGAGCAGGAAGTACACCCGGACACCCTACGTTAACGTTTCACTCAATACCCCTTCTCCATCAGAGAGCAAGCAGAGCATTTGCATGCAAGCTCCGCAAACTGCATTCTTGGCCAACTTCCAATAACGGCTTGATTTTCAGGGAATTTACAGTATTCCACGACGGAGTACAACGCCGCACATAGAAAACTCGTCCTAAAATCTTTTTCGTTTACAGTGCGATTTTCGCGTGTACATTATCGAGTGAGGAAACGGATGAAGAGACATATGCTGGTGTGTGGTCATGCCAAGAAGAGAACTTCATACTTTAGAATGAAAAGGTTTTTGCCCTTGCTTTGCTGTGGATGCGAGCTGCTACGACTCGAAATGAGCTAAAAGCAGATTTCAAACACAATGAGGTGCTCCGGTGGAGATGGAACTCGATACTACACAGAAAAACGAATTGAAGGACGTGAGGCTCATGTGATAAAGCTCACATTTCGAAAGCTTCGTGGGTCCCAAAGGGGCGTGTCGTCAATGGCGGCACGGCTTTGTGCGAGTTTCCCGCGCGTGATTAGTTCGAATCATTTTCGCTCATTTTTTATCCATTGCGTTGTGCTATGTAATAGGTGTACTTTTTCATTTTCGTTCATTTTGTATATCTTGTAGGGCATTTTCGCTAAGTAGTTACTCATTAATCGTTAGGCCAGTTCAAAATATAGGGTCTGACCTCTTGTACAGTAAAGTACTGGTTGCAATGTATTTTTATTCGTTTCTTTTATATAAGAATAAAAATGGTCGGCATCTTCCTCATTTGAGCAAGAATGACGCTATTGTACAAATTTTTTTGCAGCAGTGTTTAGCTGGTCCAATGCGTTGAGTTCCTTCTTGGACCACGGATTCCCTTTTCTTTCGCTTTTGTATCCCCTAATCTAAATCAGTGAATTTGAAACTTTTTCCTCGGGAAATCTATTCTAATAATTTTTGTTATGCTTAAGGCGGTTTCAGGTGCTTTAGTCAGGTATGCGTCAGTGCCTCGATTGTTTAATTAAAAGGGCGTAGGGCTGAATATCAAGTGTATCCTTTGATCATGATTTGATGTAGCGGATATCTGTTGTGGATGGAGGTTTCATATTTCCCTTTCGATAGCACAGCATAAAACGCTTCGCATTGATTGTTCCCGTATGTATCTGTAGTTCTCCCAGTGTCTGAGAAATATGCTTCGATCGAACTTTGATCGCGACCATGATTGTGTCGTGGATCGTCACTAGTGTGCGGTGATGTGGACAGCGCTTGATCTCTCGGTTAGGGATCCGTCATACTTGCCGCGAAAACCCAAAAACAAAAGCGCCAGAAAGAGCTGGAAAGATTCTGGAATTTCTAACAGAACTCTGACATCATTTTGATCTGCAGACGACAGAAAATGAAGCAAAATGATTCGGTTGCGAATTCAACACAAATGCCTAACCGACAAAGCTTGCGCGCAAAGGGGGGTGTTCCGGCTTTTTCCGGCGCTTTTGTGCTTTTTTCGGCGAACTATGACGGATTCTTATTGCGCAATATTGCTCGGTTATGCAAAATTCGCTGCAAGCAACGCTTTCATGGGGGGGGGGGGGGGTGGAACTCAGACACTCGCTGTTGACTCGCGCAGCCCAAAGTTTTGTGTAAGCGCTGAATGAAGGCGCGACACAAGTAATCGGCCTCGCGAGGAAATCCCGAGACAGCATCATGTGTCGGAACAATGCTGCCCGAGACAACACTTTGACGCGACCCGCATCTTGCAGGAAATACGCGGCAGCTCGAGGGCGACACATCCTGTTGTCCGGACGCAAATGGAGCGCGTTATCTCGCAATAGTAATTTCGCTTTATCCCTACTTGCTGTACATTACATATATGTATATATTATACTAGCTGGCTTGCCCGGCTCCGCCGGGCCTGCCAGCTAGACCCGTGTACGTATGTTCCGAATAGAAATTTTTATCTCTGAACCGATTGGGACCGAACTTTGCACACATACACTTCGGGGCAGGGAGCGTGTCACAGCCCACTTTTCGTTATCGATCGATGTCGATTTTACCGATTTTTTGCAAAATTTGAGCTAGGGGGCTAGGATTTTGCACAGGGGGGTAATCGAGCATGCTGATCACCCCTTCGGGGTGATCAGCATGCTCGATTACCCCCCTCTGCCAAATCCCAGCCCTCTAGCTCGAATTTTGCAAAAAATCAATAAAATCGATATCGATCGATAACGAAAAGTAGCCTATGACACGCTCCCTGCCCTGAAGTATATGTGTGCCAAGTTTGGTCCCGATCGGTTCAGAAATAAAAATTTGTATTCGGAACATACGTACATACATACAGACAGACAGACATACAGACATACAGACAGACAGACAAACAGACATTCAGCTTTATATATAAGATGTGTATGTATAAATATACATTATATATATATCTATATATATATATATATATGTACACGCATATATATGAATTCTACAAAGTCTTAACCAATTTATTACTTCTAAAATGGCATAAGGATACTTCGGGGAAGTCAAACTACTATGCTTACTAGCTTCACGATATGGAGATACATGATGAGATAGAGGTGGTACTTAGTAACCGTCTAAACAATGAGAATCTTGGATTGCAAATAAGTGATACGCAAAAGGGGAGTAGAGTCAAGGCAAATGATATGATAGTGATATGTAAGTACAGCAAATTGGAAAGAATTAGTAGCAGATGGGCTAAAACTTGTCGGGGATGGTCTTTTCTATTTCCTTGACGCAGGTGCAAGGTGTATACTCTAAGAAAGGAGAATGAGCACTATGTCCAAAAGAAATTCATCAGAACTTCATAAAATTGAGAAACGGAAATTTGAAAAGCGCTTGACGTAGCCTGACAGCTCCTTCTTGTCAGCAATACGGAGCACCTCTGCAATGCAGAACAAAAGCTATTAAGATTTGTGTGGTAATCCACTCACTTCCTTTTTTCTCCTCGTCTCCTATTGCTGCAGCACTGTCACCCCATTTCCTTCTCCGTAGGGCAAGGAAGCAACCTAAAGAAAAGATAGCTTACATCACAGCAAGACTGGTTTGGCGTGAATGTGGCGTGCCACACCCCACAGCATCGACAACATCGACGACACCGACAACCTATGGCCGTTACCACAGGTAGCATATTGCAACAGCAACAACATGTTAACAACAATGCGTCGGTTGGCAGTTAGGTGGCATAGGTGAGCTGTCGTGGAATGGACGATTTACTATACACCCCCCTCAATTTCTTTTTAAAACAAGCAACACGGTCCTATGTCGTGCATCGAAAATGGTAAGTTCAAATGAGAGTGACTCAAAAAAAACCAAAACAAATCAAAATTTACGTAAAGAATGGCAATGAAAACATACTATTTACCTCAATGATGCAAACGTCTGGCCTTTCCAATGTGCCATCAACGGGAATCCTGGCCACTTGCTCAACCCACTGGATTACTGCATCCGTAAATTGAGGAATTAAGTGCACCGTCTCTCCGCAGTAGTCGCCAAGTCGCTCACGATCAGTAACCTGTAATTTGAGTTTTTCTTCATAATAGCCTGATATGTTTCAGCATGTAAGTTAAGAACCAGTGAAGAAAATAGGCACCAAAATAAAGCCAAAACTTACATGCTGAAACATATTAGGCTATTATGGACAAAAACTCAAATTCCACAATCCCACTATCACGGAGATAGTCGAGCTTTGATTTCTAGAGAAGAAGCTTCAAAATTGGATTTCAAATAAAGTTAATGTTGGATTGGAATGAAATTAATGGGAATAAGAGGGCTTAGGTGGGATGGATGGAATGCACGAATTTGGAAATACATAGCAAAAAACCTGGAATGATGCAACATGAGCTGAGATTTGAAATGCGCGTCGATATTGCGAAACTGCTCGCTGAGTCACTCATCATCTCCCGATTTCCTTTCGCGAACAACCGCAAAAGCTGTCAAAATATTGTCTCGCGCATGTCTACGCCCTTTCCCGCGAATCCCTCAAAAATGGGCGGATCTCCGGCGCGAGTCAACAGCGAGTGTCTGAGAAGTGTTGCTTGCAGTGAGTTCCTCCTAGACACTCGCACAGTTTCGCGACTTCTGTCGTCAATTATTGTTTTTCTTGATTTCGGCTTTTATCTCGTCTTTGACCAGAACGAGTACGTTTGCCCCATCAAACATAATTCAGGCGAGCTCTTCACTCATTGGTAAAAAAAGCGGACCACCATGTCGGCTCCACCACCTGTCGCTGGTGTCGAAGATTCTGCGGATCGAAATGTGGAAATGTGGAAAATCAAACGGCTTATAAAGAGTTTGGAACTTGCGAGAGGGTAATTAGCAATGCTTTTTTGGTAGATTTGCAGTCCTTTTTGCCATTCTGCATTATCTGTTTTGCAGGAACGGAACATCGATGATCTCCCTGATTATCCCTCCCCGTGACCAGATTGCGCGAGTTCAAAAAATGCTTGCCGATGAATATGGTACTGCATCTAATATCAAATCGCGAGTGAACCGGCTGTCAGTGCTTGGTGCTATCACGTCTGTGCAGGGACGTTTGAAATTGTACAGCAAAGGTTTGTTTGATTCTCTTCTATACTGTTCCATCACTTACTCATGTTTGGATGAACACTTGCGCCAAGAAATGTTTGTATCCATCTCTGAAATAAGTTCTCATGAGTGTTGCGAGGGGTTAGGTCCATGCTTGTTCGATGTTTAATTAGAAGGTTTTACTTGTTTCTTTGAGAATGATGCGCTGCAGGCAGCGCAAAGAGCTGACTCATATTGGATTTTATACAATTCTTTTTTCATTTACTCATATTGATTGAAATCCAGCTCCATCGACCTTCTCAGATTGCGCTTCTATTTGCTGAGTAGGAAAAAGACCTATTTAGATTTACTTACTCTTTTTGCACTATTTTGACTTACTCTTTTTGCGTTCGTTGTCTGTATAGTGATTTATGAATGAGGAGCACAAACCCATAAGCATGCAAGGGCCGTGTTGTTGTAAGTAGTGTTTCATACGATACTATCAGATTGTCCGGAAAATAATGTCGCTTTGGTTTCAGCATGCAATATCGCAGCAGGGTGCGCAAGAAAGTAAGTGGGGTATCAACCGATAGATCAGAGCAAGCTATGCAGAATGAATCTCGAAGCTTTGCGCCAGTTTTGATTTGCATGAAGTTTGGAGCCAAATTTCATAAGGCACTAAAGATCTTTAAAAAACGAAAAAGATCGTATCTCCGTTCAGGAAAGTCCTGGAAAACCCTAACTTTCTCACGCATGGACTCTCTATACGAGGCACTCGTATGCACATTTTCGCGGCTTTTCCATAGCTGAAAATTGAGAAAACGAATTTTGGCCTAATTTTGCTAAAACAATTCTGAGCTTCTCTCACACGAGTGGTTCTGTAGTGTGAATCTTTAGGAGTATAATCATGAGTTTTCAGATTTAGACAAGCGCTAGTTTTTGAGAAAAATCAAATTGTTTGCAAAAAACCCGAAAAATGCGACTCGCACTTTTGACCTATTTTTATTTCTCGTACTGTAGCCATGGAAAAATACCACAAACTGTACAGGTGAATGTCTACACAGAGTACATGCCTGTGCAAATTGGAGATCCATAAGACGTCTATGAACGGATAAACGATTTTTCGGATATCTAAAAATTTTTATATCTTGGATTTGAACTTTGGGTGGAGCACGATTTCTGCGGAGGTTTGTAAACTTTCTTGTAGAACTTCCTTTGCTCTATCAAATGATACCCCATTCGCTATTTTTTGTGGTTATTCTGTCGCGGTAGAATGACATGCGACATTATCTTCCGGACAACCTAATATATGCATTTACTTAAGGTTACGTCCGAGTAGGGGCAATGAAGGGATAACACAAAGACTATAACTTGAGCAAAGAAGTCATTATAGTACTACTTTTATTTTTTTTCGAGCATCTTATTGAGAAGCTCAATGAAACATGAAGGTAACATAATTCGAAGTTGCACGTTGCCCTTGAGACCGGCAGGGCAAGGACATTTTACTGTTAGCTAGTTAAACTGTATGTGAATGTTTCCTATTGTAATTGCTCCAGTTTTGTAAGTGTATTGTATTTTTCGCAGTTGTTCTGTTTCCTGTGTGTATGCAGCATTTTACAGTGCCGCCAAATGGTCTTGTCGTATATTGTGGAACAATAGTCACTGATGAAGGGAAAGAGAAGAAAGTGAACATCGATTTTGAACCTTTCAAGCCAATCAATACTTCGCTGTATCTATGTGATAACAAATTCCACACGGAAGCTCTTCAAGGTTTGTTAGTTGTTTATTGCCTACCCTTTGGAGTTTGTTAAAATATTTTCGTCTGCTGGAAGCTCGAATCGAGTAAATTTCTAAAATGTGTGACGGCTGGGCATGTGATGAAAGATGTTCATTAGGAGGCTTTCAGGCCGGAAGCATTAGCACTCCTGCAAAGAAGTTGTAGTTTGATATAAAAATTCGTACGTTGCTCATTGACACTATAAGATTTGCAAAGAAAGCGGATAACTTGCTTTGACGTGGTGAGAGCATTTCCCCTGGTCAGCAATTAGCGAAAAAAGTTTCAAAAGCAGTCAGCAGGCTTGCATCACATCCAGGTGACTACATATTATCTTCTTCTGTAACTGCTAAGTCGTAAACGAATCGCCAATTTTTTTTTTGAACTTCATCACAGCAACGCTCTTCGAAAACTCGCGATATCGTCCAGTGCAGAGGATCATTCTACCTATATATGATCATCATATCTCTTCATACGAAGTGTGGAGAGTAATGAAGAGTTGTGCTGGATCGTAATCATTTATCTTCGATTCACTCTTCGTAAGGATGTTCATGCGTACAGATGTTGAGAATACCGTTCGTACATAAGTCTTCGTGGTTAGAAACTGGTTTCATTTGAAATGCATTTCGGCTAGTCTTGTTCTTGTATTCTGATTGTGGCTGAGCTTAGCTCATATCTGCGCTCACGTAAAATGGGGCTGGATTATTTGCAAATATGCCTCTGGTTGATTTGCGAATGTGCTCTTGACTTATATTTCGATAGGGGGCGTTTGCTGCAAATTAATCTTAGAGTTAGCTTCTAACAATATGTATTTGAGGCATAATCATTTGTGGATGCGAATGAAGCGTTTTTGCGTCTTGATACGATAGCGTGTATACAATGCGCTGCATAGACCTGAAAATATCAACTGCTTGGCACCTTACAAATCATCACTTAGCATCTAATTGCTTGTGAATGTCGGCATGCAGTGCCGTTGCTTGTCTGGTAGACGGGGGAGCAATTGTAGATCCACTTGTTCCGCAAGCAGTCATACAATTTATCAAAAACTAGCTTGCTTACCCGGCTCCGCTCTGTCCTGTCAAAACACTGTGATAAAGATCCCATCCCTCTTGTACAGCCTTTCTCTGTGCCCACTTCTACACTTCATTTCCTCTTGCCTGTGTTGTTCTCGAAATAGCATGCCCACTTACCCCTTGTGCCAACTCCCAGCCCCATAGCTCAAACTTTGCAAAAAATCGATAAAATCGATGAAAGTAATCGATGATTCTGAAAACTAATATTGTATTCGGAATCAGCATGCTCGATTACCCCTGTGCCAACTCCCAGCCCCGTAGCTCAAACTATAGAAAAAAAACGATAAAATCGATACCGATCGATGACGAAAAGTAGCCTATGGTACGCTCCCCGCCCCGAAGTCTATGTGTGCCAAGTTCGGTCCAAATCGGTCCAGAAATAAAAATTTCTATTCCGCACATACGTACAGATATACATACATACAGACATACAGACAAATACACATTCATCTTTATATATATCAAAAATGTACGGCGTTCTGTGTAGTCTGGATTTCAACGCATATCACCTGAAGCAGAAGTTTCATTGGAAAGATGAATGTGAGTTGCAGGACTATTGGCTGATGACAACAAGTTCGGATTCATAATCATGGATGGAAACGGTACGCTGTTTGGGACTCTACAAGGCAATACTCGTGAAGTTTTACATAAATTCACGGTTGATTTACCAAAGAAACATGGTCAGTTAGAGCTACGTGCAGGGCTCGGCACGAGGTGGCTTACAAGCAAGCTGGATATCGTTTTTGGGACGAAAAGCAAAGGGGGTTTCGTTTTTGTGACCGAAGACACACGCAAAATTGGCGATTTGGCGACGTTTTTTTTTAGTCGACGTTTCGTTTTTTGGAGGATTTTTAGGAAATATGGTGGGGGGTCAAAGGGGACTTCGTAAAAATACCCAAAAGTCAAGGGGGACTTCGTTTTTTGCATTTCCATCTAGCCACCTCGTGCCGAGCCCTGGCTACGTGCTATAGTTCAAGAAAAATTAACTGATATTTTTTTTTTTTGAGGTAGAGGAGGACAGTCCGCTTTACGTTTTGCTCGTCTTCGAATGGAGAAGCGACATAATTATGTTCGTAAGGTTGCTGAATGTGCCGTGGAAATGTTCATAAAAAATGACAAAGTATGTCCCAAAATATCTCAACAGTATCTTACGAAATGCAAACGCAGGTCACTGTTGCTGGCTTGATACTGGCTGGTAGCGCCGACTTCAAGACAGAACTCGGACAGTCTGATATGTTTGATCAGGTGAGTTGTTGACTGCTTTATCTCCCAAAGCAGCATATATGACGTATAGATTGTTTGATTTGATTAGCCGCATCTTGCCTTGTACACCAGCCCGCTTGAGCGGATGAAGGCATTGGGTTCCAGCGATTCAGGCTTAGTATAATTACTGTTTCGAAATAGTATTGTTAACAACAAATTGATTGCAAATACTTCTGAACATAAAGATTGCACGTATTAAATCGCCGCAACTGTTCGCGCATATTGTCGTTTATCGCGACGCGGAGGGTCCATTAGCTTTTTGACCATTTGTTGCATTAGTTTTTATAGCGACTGCAAGCTAAGATGGTGAAGACGGTGGATATATCTTATGGAGGAGAGAACGGCTTCAATCAGGTCACTTTTTTATCTGTTTGCTTTTTCTACTGTCATAACATCGGGCTTTGAACGTTCAGGCTATCGAGCTTGCTGCCGATGCTCTTGCGAATGTCAAGTTCATTCAAGAGAAGAAGCTTATCGGAGGGTATTTCGACGAAATCAGTCAGGTATGATCATATACCAGTTTGTCTTGCAAAGTTGCATTGTATTGCTTCAGGACACTGGAAAATATGTATTCGGAGTAAAGGACACTCTACAAGCGCTCGAAATGGGTGCCGTGGAGACACTCATCTGTTGGGAAAACCTTGATATCATCCGATACCGGCTAAAGAACGCGGCCGGAGGTAAGAAGTAGTAGCAGCTATCATGATAGTTCGTTGCTACCATGGTTTTTTTTTTCGTTGTTTCTTCATGTAACCATCATGGAGTATGTTACCATATCACTCGAGTGGGTTTCACCGCCGGGCACTTGCAATCCCTATTTTGAGAAAAAGCTACTATGCATTTTTTGACCGCACAAAATAATGTTCCAGAAGGCAATTTACTTCCTGCTCTGCGTTTGTTACGGGTAATGAGGGCATACATAAGTAGCTTGCAAGAAAGCGTACTATACCAAGAGTCACGTCTTTAGCGAAAGCTTAACTGAATGTTCGTGATTTGTGGACATATTACAAGTTTAGTCAAAAGTTCTGCGAGGAAACGGATCTATATCGACCGTGTAAAACTCAACTGCCCTCGCCACGCTTTGAACACCAGGGCGCGGAGCGACTGGATATGTGTGGTCCCGAGGCGGCACAGGGTAATCAGAGGCGATAATGCGCGCACCTCAGACATATTTTCATAAGCTCGTAAATACACTTTTGGCTGAAACATAATTGCAGTCCTGTGGCCGTATCCATCATTGATACCTTGAGGTAAATTCTATCTCCAGGAGTTTTATCACTCATTATCAACAAGTACCCGTATTCACAAAAGTGCCTTGAGGTAAATTCTCAATGTAATTTTGCTGATAATGAGTAATAAAAGGAGGTAGATTTTACCTCAAGGTATCAATGATGAATACGGCCACTGGAAACAACATGGATTGTTGTCCGGATAATTTATGAATGAATGAGATCGCGTATAGTGCCTCGCGACGACCGCTCGCCTATGCTGGTGTTCACGGCACGACGGCAACTAGGGTTTACAACGCCTGTACCTAGTCAGTTGAATGGAATCCCCGCAAAACTGTGTACAGTCTGCCCCAATCCTAACCAGGCCAAAATCGGCATGGCGGGAGTCCGCGCCGCGAGGGTTTCGCGCCACGTCTGCGGCTAGCTAGTCTGCTCTCTCCTCGATCTCTTCACTCTCTGCGACAGCGCGAGTATGCAGCGCGGGTGTAGGGCGTTAGGCGACAAACCCGATTTTTTGGACCCCAAATAACTCCCCGTGCAAAACGTCTCCTCCGCCAAAAACAGGGGGTGGGGGGTCGGGGCCGATACATCACTCGACGTCATCAAAAAAATGCACATAGTTTTGACTTACGGGCTTTACGTTGATTGCGTTTTGCACGTTTTGTCGCCTAACGCTTGCCCTCCATGCAGCGCAATCCCCTAGCGCTGCGAGCGCGCAAATTCAACCGACGGTTCAGCCTGATCCCGATTGGGGCAGACTGTAGAGCTAGTGCTAGCCGAAGAAAGACTGATGAACATATCGTTACTGGCAGTACGCAAACTAAGCATAGTTCCGTGAATATTCCTATGAGACTCCGTTCTTGGGTTTACATAATCAGCGTATGTTCCTAGGGAAAGCGCGGGAGCCATACAAAAACCGAAAATTTACTAGCATACAAAAACCAAAAATTTAAATCGTCGTCAGTTGTCATTTGGAATTTCCATTTCTTGAAGTCAGATTAAGAATTCAGCTTATCTTTGAATTATAGAACTAATTTGCAAACGAATACATTTTTTGATTTCTTTGCTCTAATGAAGAAACGATGAGGGAATGGAAAGTTTTGAATTTATGTTTGTGTATGTTTCCTTTTCATTTTTTTTCAGAGGAGAAGATTCTTAACCTTAGACCTGATGAGGAGAAAGACAAGTCTCATTTTACTGACAAAGAAACTGGGCAAGATATGGAAATTGTGGAAACGATGCCTCTTCTTGAATGGTTTGCCAACAATTATAAGGTGCGTCAAGAGTTTGGCTAACTAAACACAGTTCATGCCGTTAAAGAGCTTTGGAGCCACATTGGAAATTGTTACTGACAAATCGCAAGAGGGAGCCCAGTTTGTACGGGGATTTGGAGGAATTGGAGGTATACTTTTCTAATAGAAAATGTTTGCTAATAATGCACATTTTGCCGTAAAAGTACTTGGTTGAGGTCTCCTTCGTTACCGTGTGGACTTAGTGGGTGATATGGTTGACGAGTTTGACGACATCAACTTTGATGACTATTGACCTCGTGCGGCGGCTGGCAACCATTGGGACTCTTTGTTTTCTTTTTTGATTATCTCTCGTTTTTTACAAGTATTTTCTGTCAAATTAGTCAATGTGCATCTATCCAGTATTCATGTTCTAGACTTGATACATCCTTATGCGTTTTGGTTCATCTCGTTTATTCCTCTTCACGTTCTCATATCAGACTTCCTTGTTACCATCTCGTCTTATTCCACTTACATTCTCTTTTGTCCCACTTTCATCCACCTCTTGCCCAGCCCAGTGCGTTGCTCTGCCGCCGTACCAGATCTGCCGTCAGTCACTAAAAGGAACCGATGGCGACAGGACGCAATACCGAACATGATCCTGTTGCACCAGCGATTGTGCCAGTGGAGTTTTACAGGGCTGCCAAATGCGCTTGTTGGCCTTGGGTGAGTCACTCTTGTTTAGTTCAAAGATCTCGAGCTTGACTCTTTGATCATTCAGTATGTTTTCTTGATTGTGAATTCCATTTTGCAGCTTGAGGTTGGACCTCTTGTTCTTGTCTGTTCATGGGGGTCAGTGGTTCCATCATCATCCCATGCGCGTGAAGGCAACATCCTCTTCCTGTCTTGCATCCTTCGTTGCCCCAAATATCGACAAGGGAATCGACGATCCTTCTTCAAATGTCATCTTACTTTGAGTCAAACTCAAGTTGTGATCGATCTTTCTCTGATTTCGTTGTTTTGCTATTGGTCATAGTTTACGCCACCATTTGTTCCTCCAGGTCATGCACTCTTTCCATTCTCTTTTTGAGGGTGTGCACGTCTCTTTCGGTAACCTCTTCTATCAACGCTATCTAACCCGCGTGTTTAGTCGATGCAATGGGTCTAGAAATAAACATTCTATCAATTCCTGTCGTGACAAACACTAGTTGGGTTTCTCCCACCATTCTCGCAGAATACAGCGTGTTCTCGTCAAGTGGCGAGACCAGCCCACTTAATTTCTCTCGTGTAAGGAGTGGTTCTTATCTTGGGGGCGTTGCTTTTGCGTCATTTGTGGCATCTGTCACCGCTCTTTTGTCTGCGTCAACTGCAGTCCAAAGGCTACTATCAAAATGGTAGGTCTACAAAAAAAAATTCTGTTGGTCATTATGTTTGTCTTCGGTTATTCTATGCTGTACAAATTGTTGAGACGTTGCATTTAGCAAGTCTTTCTCTTACAAAGTTAATCTTATGAGCGTTTTAGCACTTCTTGACTACTTCCACATGTTGTACTTGAATCTGGGCTAAACCATACCATACCACCGTATCTTCTATAGTTGTTTATGGTAGATGCAAGTTTCTCAATACTTTCACGATAATTGTTGTTCATGGTGTATGATACGCTTGAGAATGCTTCCATATCAAAACCTCTTCGGTCCTATTGCAGCATAAAAGCAATCAGTGAAAAAACGTGAAGAGAGTGAGTTTTTAAATAAGCTCACAATTCTGGCTTTCCTTATTTGAATACGCACAGTAAGTCGAACAGCGAATGAAATTGAATAAGAGTGAGATCTGTGGCAATTTGTCAGGATCTTCCATCGAATTAGACTAGGTCATTAACTTTCGATCGTAGCTATTATAGACGCAACAATCTTCGATGCTGTCTGCAGGGATAAACTGCGCTTTTCAGTCGGTGCCGTTGTCGACCGTACCAACGATGGGCCTCGATAATTCTGCGATTATCGTCACTGGTGCTGTGTTATTGATCTCTTCGTTGGCTGCTATATTTTTTCTGAAAAACAAGAAGGGCTTCCACCTCTCTAGTTGGCACAAGGTATATTATCATTTTCGTACAATTGGGGTGAGCAATTTTGGCACAAATGTGTATTTCTGTATGGTTGTAGTCTTAAATGAGTAGAGAGCGACAGAAAACGGATATTCGCTACTATATCCCTAGACAAAGTGATAATACCAGGATGAGTGATCCATATGTTCGATCAGAGAGCAGGCAATTTAGTGTTCTGTATGGTATTGAATGTATAACCACAAGATTTTTTGAGAGTTCTCAGTACAGTTTCAAAATATGCGCGTGGATTTATTCTCTAATCATTTTCTGATGAGTCTGAAGTAAAGTGATGGAGTAAATGTGTGTTCAATGTGTGTGTCGCATAAATTCAAGCAGTTAAAATCGTCCTATTTTTGAAAATTGTTACTCTATTTCCAGGTGTATAAGCCGCGGGAATTTTTTTTTGTGAAATTGACCAGCCCAAACACGTCAAAGGACTTCGCGACCAAAGCACCTTATATTGTGCTGCATATTGCTTGAGAGAATCGTGCGGCATAAGAATCGCTTTTCGAAACACAGCGAGGCCGCTGAGCGCTTGCTTGAAATTTCGAAAAAGTGCGGCTACACCTGAAAAATAGGGTAGTTCTCTATGATTGAATAATTGCAGTAAGATCCAGGGCTCGGCACGAGGTGGCTAGATGAAAATGGAAAAAACGAAGTCCCCCTTGACTTTTGGGAATTTTTACGAAGTCCCCTTTGACCCTCAACCAAATTTCCTCTAAAAACCTGAAAAATTCCCCCAAAATCCCCCAAAAAACGAAACGTCGACTAAAAAAAAAGGTCGCCGCCGCCAATTTTCCGTGTTTCTCCGGTCACAAAAACGAAACCCCCTTTGCTTTTCGTCCCAAAAACGATATCCAGCTTGCTTGTAAGCCACCTCGTGCCGAGCCCTGGTAAGATCTGCCAAAGCAATAGTTTGTATTTATATATTTTGTGACCAAAGCCTTTTGACCTATTCATCTCATTTAGGGGAATCATTGCATTGCGTTGAAGATTTCCACGAGATTTGTAAAATTTCAAACTGATAGGTCAAACTGAGCTGGGCTACAAAGGTTGGTGTAAGATCTGTCGCACCATTTTTGTAAAATTAGCTTCTTGTCATCTCGACGGATTCGATCAGGCGTACCTGATTTTGTTAGATGAAGGAGATCATCTCCTCTGTATCAGTACCTCTGCTGCTCTTTGATAAGGGTATTGAAATGCAAGCAGGAGAATAAAATCACTTCAGCTTCGCTCATTTTGAGTTAGGTCTCCAAGAATATGAAATTTTCTATGAAATTCGGAGCAAACGGCAGTATAAGTAATTTGATCAATCATTTACGCACTTGAGTTTTCGAAAAAAAAAGGCCGGAAAAATTATATTTGCTTGTTCGTACTACTTGCTGAGAAATCGTAAGTCTTCACAGAAGTGCTCATTCAACAAAAACTTCGCATAGTTGGAAAGTGTGGGTCATAAGACTTTTATTACTGCTCGCTCCGAATTTTAGCGCAAGTTTCATCTGGCGACCTAATTTAAGACGAGCGAAGCTAAAATTTTGTTCTTCTGCGTGTATCCTAAGACATACCCTTCAAGAAGCAACAAAGGCATTATCAAGAGAAGATAAGTTTTTCTATCTAGCACAGAAAAGTCTGTGCAAATCCCAAACAGCGAGAAGTTTCTTTTATGATTTTTTAAAAATGATTCGACAGATATACAGGGTGTCCCAAAAAATGTGCTTACCATTTTATTGTGAATAATTCATGAAGTCTTTTGAGAAACTTCAGGTACCGTTTTGTAGAGCTCGTTTCAGCCTAGATTCACAGCATGGAGTGAACCGACGGTCGCTCTTCATTATTGTAGGATTACGGTAAGAAGTTACGGCACATGTGGCGTCATTGTGAAAAACATCCATCGTAAAAAAAGATCTGATGACGTCGATGTTAGGGTCTTCATGGATGTTGAGTTTGATAATCAACTTCATAAAAGATTATGAAGCTTTCTAAACGGTGTAATCACATTTTTTAGGAACATCGAAATTGCGGTCACTGCTTACCTGGCATAACTTTTTGAGGAAGCAATTATGATAAGATGCAAACTTTATAGTTTTGATCAACAAACCTAATTAGCTTAGTCTGAAGGTTTTCATGTCGCTGTTTTTTCTTCCTAAGCAAAATATGGCTGTTTATGGCTCAAAACCCTTTTCAAAGCTCCTACCGTAAGTCTACAGTAATGAAGAGAGATCAGTGATTTGCCTTATACTGTTAACCTAACAAGGGAATGGAATCGAAGTGGCCAATTCAGACAAGCTGCATACCATTGGATGCAGCATGATGCGCTGACTCTAAATCTGTTTTCTTTACCTGCTTATCGCTTTTCTGGACGAAGCTGTAAGTCATGAAAGGCCATTATTTTGCTAACAAGGGAACGATACTTGGTGTCCGTGGCCTTTTGAGATGAAAAGTATACCATCACACTCGCTTTGGAACGCTGATTCCGAATCTGACTTCCTTTTCTGCTAATCGTTTCTCTGAAAGAAGTTATGAAGGATTTTCGCGTCAATGATCGCCTAAGAGAAATGAGACCGAGGATGCCTAACTTTAAAAAAGAAGCTTGATTAAGGCAATTCAAAACTGAAAACACAAAAGGACTCAAACCTAAACCTACATTAACTTGCGAGGCCATCTCACTAGCGATCACATGACATCACAGCGGCATTTTTGGCATTGCGACCACATCTCCTTTGGCGCAAAAATCCTTCACAACTTCTTTTAGAGAAACGATTAGCAGAAACGAAAGTCAGATTCGGAATCAGCGCTCCAAGATGAGTGTAATGGTATACATCTCACCTCAAAAGGCCACGGACACCAAGTATCGTTTCCTTGTAAGAAATTATGCGTGAAAGTGAAAATCTAGCCGTACAGAGCCACGTTCGCCTTAATGCTGGACCGAAACATGCAGCTAAGTTACTTCAAATTTTCAAAGCCTGAAGCTGAGCTAAAAGTGCAACAATGTGCTCAATTTTTCACAATAAAACTGCTTGTAGCTTCGTCCACTTCGATAAGCAGGTAAGGAAAACAGATTTAGAGTCAGCGCTTCATGCTGCATCTAATGGTATGCAGCTTGTCTGGTTTGGCCACTTCGACTTCTGACCATTCCCTTGTAATTTGAAGCCAGCTCTACAGAATGGCACTCAGAGTCTCTCGAAAGACGTCATGAAAGAAAGTTCAAAGATCAAACAGTAGACACTTTTTGGGACACTCGCTAGAATAATCTACTGTTGGACAGCTACTGTATAAAAATAGATTCAAAATTAGTTAGAGATGGAAATAAATAGGAATCAGTAAGTTGAAAGTAGTATGAAAATAAGTGTGAAGTTTTGTGCTGTTTTATTTTGCTTAGAAGTCTTATCCTGCGGAGATACGAATTTCAAATTCTTGATCAAGAAATGTTTCGGCGTTTCAGAATTAAAGAATCGCGAAAAAGCTGGCAAGAAAGTTTGAGATTTTTGTTACATCCTTAATAGCCACCTTGGCTTATATATCTTGCGAGTTATCCAGCTATTTGCTATACTTATTTTAAATTTGTCTCTGCTATCACTAATTAGTCGCAAACTCTTCTATAGGAGCTTTTCACTTCATCTGGTCATCACAGGCGCAAAAATGTGGTATAGTATAGGAAGACAAATTGATCAATTGGCCGTTATTGGAAAAAAGCGGAGAGAGTGGGTTGACTGCTGGTCGAAAGCGTTGCGATTTTTTTCCTGAGAACTGAAACTTTGATATCCCTTGTGATGTGCAAAAGATTGCTCATGCAATTCTTCACAAACTACTTGAGAAAGAAAGTATTATCTTACAGGTATAATGCTCATATGATCACTTTGAGTACTTTGAGAAGGAGAATTCTGGAGGAGAAACCTTCAAATATGTTCCAAGTCCGCCTCTAATTGTAACCATGTTCAACATCAATTTTTTTCCCAGAAACCCGTCACATTGGTGGACGAAGATGTCAAATATGCTCTGCCGTTGATGGAAAAGTCGTTTGTTAATCATGATACGCGAAGATTCCGCTTTCGACTTCCGTCAGAAAATCACGTTCTTGGTCTTCCCATTGGTCAGCATGTTTATCTCAGTGCAAAGGTAACACTCCGTAAAATTGGTCTTTTCTCTGATTTCATAACTTCTAGATAGATGGAAAGCTTGTAGTACGGCCGTATACACCGGTGTCCAGCGACGATGATTTTGGATACGTAGATCTCATGATTAAGTTCAGTTCACAACCTCTTTCTCAAAAGCTTAATTAGTTGTCTTCGATCTACTCTGCTTCCACTTGCCTTTGCTACCTTCCTTGCTTTTGTTTGTTTTTCGCTGGTACGCTCTGGTTCAGCGTTGTAAACATCTAAACTTAGTATATAATAATCACCTAGGAATGCGCTATACAAATCTTAATTCTTTTTGATAAGCTAGGTAGAAACCACAACCAAAAGATGCATTTGCTATTGCAGTCTTGCTCAATTTTCTAGGCCAATTGTTGATTTTATGTGTCCAATCTCATGTAATCAGTCCGTTTTAGGTGTATTTTCGTGACATACACCCTAAATTTCCGGATGGTGGCAAGATGAGTCAGCACTTGGAACAAATGAAGATTGGAGATACTGTAAGAGCCCAGAGTCATCATGATTTTGTCAAAGAGCCTTTTTAGATTGACTTTCGTGGACCATCGGGATTAATAGTCTACAAGGGCTATGGAAAATTTGCTATAAAACCGGACAAAAAATCTCCACCTAAGGAACGCTTTTTCAAAAGCATTGGCATGATCGCTGGCGGCACCGGCATAACACCAATGCTACAGGTTTGTATGGTCGTGCCCTTCATAAAGTCAATTTTTATGAGTCATTTGCTTCATACCAGTTTATCAGGCATGATTCACAGTCTCATATTTGCAGATAATCACAGCCATACTTAAGAACATTGACGACAATACTCGAATCAGTTTACTTTTTGCCAATCAGTCTGAAGAAGATATCCTGTGCAGGTTTGTTTTGAGCAGACTAGACTCCAGAATTCTCCATAATTTTCAGGAAGGAGCTAGATGATCTGGCTTCGATGCATAGCGATAGATTCACCGTCTGGTATACTGTTGATCGTCCCCCGGAAAATTGGAAGTTTTCCATAGGATTTGTGAATGATGAAATGATCAAGGTTTGACTGTTTTTACATTATGTGATCTGCTTATAATGCGTAGATTGCCAGCTATAACATTGCAGGAGCATCTCCCACCTCCTTCGGATGACTCTGCTGTGTTCATGTGTGGGCCTCCACCAATGATCACTTTCGCTTGCAATCCAAGTCTTGATAGACTCGGATATAGTGCTAACAATAGATTCAACTTCTGATTCGTAGTCCTGTTTGGTCTCAGAAACTCAGTGCAGCCTTACTCAGTGATTCAATTCATCGTTGCAGTTAAATACTTGTTCACATTCTGTTTATAAGGCATCACTGGAACAGATCGACAACCTATTACAATTTGCGCTGCTACACCGGGAAGTCTCTGAGCAAATGACATATTCCTGAAAGGCTTTTCAGCTATTTGAAACGGCTGCTATATGTGCAAGTATATTTCATAGAAAATCAAATTAGTGCACTAAAATTCGTTCTTTTTTATCTTAATTTCGAAAATAATTGTAAATTGGGAAAGCGATTCTGCCACGGATGGCACATACCTCTATTAGATGCTAAGGGTGCCTTCATACCGCGCCCGCAGCAGCCGCCAGCAGCCCGTAGCAGCCGCCAGCAGCCCACAGCAGCCGCCAGCAGCCCGCAGCAGCCGCCAGCAGCCCGTAGCAGCCGCCAACAGCCCACAGCAGCCGCCAGCAGCCCGCAGCAGCCGCCAGCAGCCCGTAGCAGCCCGTGGCCGCCGTTGGCCGCTTTTGTTATCATCCGCAAAATCACCAGATTATTACTGATTTGATTATACCCGCCTATGCCTCTCATCCTCCGAGCTTTTTTCTTCCTTTTGCCGCCAGTACGCAGTTCGATTTACAAAATCAGACAAAAAGCAACTGGACGCATCTAAGTTTGGAAGAATTCACCCCGCAAGTGAATTCAGCGAACTTGAGAAGTGTTAGACTGCAATTTAGATATGCACCGATAGCAAAGGAATAGAGTGAAGCAGAACCATATTTAGAAATCAACAGATAGCACAAACAGAAACTGGACGCATTAAGAATCAAAGGGAATCACACAAAACTTCGGCTGTTCTATGGTCTGCAGTAGGGAAATTGATCACCACAAAGATAACCAATCTAGGCAAAAAGATAATGACAAAAATGGACACAAGTACTCAGATAATCACCGGGCGCAGGCGGTCCACAAACTCGCGCTTTTCTGCAAGCGGTCAGCAGAATTTTGGGGCGTGGCCAAACTTTCAGCGAGCGGTACTTCCTTTACTGTCTAATGTTCTGCCAACGGGCAGCAACATAGAATTTTCTGCAGGCGCTCGTCAAATAATCTCTTTCAGCGAGCGCTGATCAAATTTTCAGCTGGCGCTCAGACGGTTTTTAAGCATTTTCGGGCGTACGCCGAGCAAAGGTGAGACTCCACATGGCAGAGGTGTCATCGATGGTTTAATTACTCAAGTTTGGGGTACTTTCTCTCAGCGGAAAGTACCTGGGGGCTGCGCGGTCCTCCACAAAGGACCGTGCGGCCCCCGAAAATTTTGCATATTCTCGCGGAAAGTCCGCGAGAATGCGGCTACTGCGCCGCAGCTAATCTACAAGGAAACCACGTTTCTTCTCCAAGCATTCGTCTAAAATTTCGCTAAAATTCTTCCAAATATCTGCAAGCGGAGCGCAAGAAACAGCGAACTATTTTTCCGGTGCCCGCCCGCCCATAAATCGCATGGCCGCCTGCCCCTGGCGATTATCTGAGTATAGCAGTAGCAGTAACAATGTCTAATTTTTGAGGTCGACGTACATACAACAGGGAGAAAAAAGCGTGGAAGATCGAAAGCAAAGGCGGGTGCATCGAATTGGTAAGAATCTGATGATTTTGCGTATGGTAAGCGGTCAACGGCGGCTACGGGCTGCTACGGGCTGCTGGCGGCTGCTACCGGCTGCTGGCGGCTGCTACGGGCTGCTGGCGGCTGCTGCGGGCTGCTAGCGGCGGCTGCGGGCGCGGTATGAAGGCACCCTAAGGGATCGTTCAAACCGCGCCGGAACCCGCCCAAACCCGCCCGAATACGTCCAAACGCCCAAACCTGCCCAAATACGTCCGAACCCGCCTGAACTGCCGATGCGCAGCAGGTTGCATGCAAATTGGCATATTGTACCACGCGTGAGATTGATCCTTCTAATACTGGAGTAGTTACAAAAAAAGATCGGTATTAACGTCAGGCTACTTGTGACTAAGATATATGCACTACGCGCGCAGTATTCCACGCGTGCTTCAATATGCCAATTTGCATGCAACCTGCTGCGCATTGGCAGTTCAGGCGGGTTCGGACGTATTTGGGCGGGTTTGGGCGTTTGGACGTATTCGGGCGGGTTTGGGCGAGTTCCGGCGCGGTCTGAACGACCCTTAATGAGAAACGGTGAGCTCAATGCTGCACTTATTTTTCAAATCTCTCTTTAGTTTTCAGGAACCCCAGTTCTTCTGAGAAATCGGGGGCATGAGAAAAATAAATCCCGAATATTGTAACTGACATAATGTCCAGTTTCTGTGGGCGTAAAGTTGCAGCTACCTCATATTTCAGAAACAAAAGTTTACGCATAACCCGCAGTATACATCGTTCATTGTCATAAGGTTGCTCAAAGAGAAAAGGTAATAGATATTGTACATCACTTCTGTCCTCACCCTACCCGCAGACGGTCGGCTTATTCCTTCCTCTGACCTCCACCAACCACGGATAGGAGAGAAGAATGGAAGAAACCATGGCTGGTCCACCGGTGACTGCACGAGAAATTAAGAAAGGAGGGCTCTGCGGCGCCAAGAATAGATTAGAGTAAGTTTTTATAATATACGTTCTTTGTCTTCAGAGGAAAGGCTAACGGCACTTAAAGAAGAACTGAGCCACATAAAATCTGACATATTAGGGCTATCTGAAACGCGCCGCTGTGGTGTCATCTCTGCACAACGCAGCTCTTCACAACAATATTTTTATAATAGCGGGAAGAGGAATGAAGAAGTCACTCGAAGAGGAGTAGGAATACTAGTTGAAGAGCGACTCCACCGATACTGCAGGAGTTAGCTTCCTTTCTGATCGTATTATCCAGACTCACTTCCTTCTAGGCGGCAGTCAATGAGAGTTACCATGGCTTACGCTCCGTGGCAGGAAAGGAATACGAACAATTTGTGGACGAATTAAAACACATCTCTTAAAAAAGCTATGCGTACGATATTTTAATGGAGACTTTGATGCATGTGTCGGAAAAGAAGGATCACAGACGGATTATATGAGCGATAAATGTTTAGGCACACGAAACAACAAAGTACAGACATTGGCTGAGTTCGCTGAGTCGGAGCAATTCTATATACATTCTTTCAAAAGCCTTACAGGCGAAGATGGACATGACGATCCCCAGATGGTCAAGTACTAGAAGAGATTGATTATGTGCTGACGCGTCACAAAAGAATAATAACCAGGGTCAAGCAAGGGACACGATCCCTGGTTACAACCTCCCCCCCCCCCCTGATTACTGTCTTAATAAGACCCCCCCCCTAAACTATATACCTAAGATAGCATTACCAAAGCTGAGAAAGAGATCAGGCACAAGTCTTTCGAGGACAACCCCCCTCCCTTCCATGAAAGCCCTCAAACGACCTCTTCCTCCTCCTCTTAACCTCTGGACCTCAAAGTGTGACATTCTGGAGGACACCAGCTTTTTCTAGAAAGTTTTCAGATTTCTGAGAGCTGTACGCCCGATTTTCTGTGACTGCACTTTACAATCACACGTAATTTGACGGCTGATTTTGATCTGAATGGGCATATTGAACGGGCCATAATTTTCTTATAGGTGGGGCGTTCGGCTCCAAATTTCCAATGTAGCAAGAAGAAGCTATGTGCTCAATGCTCATACCGGCAATGGACCGCTTTCTGGATTTCGAAGGCAAGTTAAGGGGGTGCGGCACACCCCCTTAAAAGCTGCGGCAGCCGCAGCTTTTAAGGGGGTGTGCCGCACCCCATTAACTATATCAAAAAAAACATTTTTAGCGGACAGTATTTATATGAATCGATAGCCTAAACCTTGTAGATTCCATAGGACTGTTTGGAGCCTGATTCGTCTTCTTAGCTCTGAGTAATATTTAATGAAAGCACAGCGATCAAATTCGAAAAATGGGAGAAATGAGATTTTGGTTGGCTTCTAATTCCACAGTTTGCAGGTCAATAAGTAAGGCTGTTTTCAGTTCACAGTAATCAGGTGGCAGTTCATGAGAGCGGACCCTGAAGTGTAATTTGGTATGTACATTTACGTCAGCTCGAATTAGTCGATGATCACTTCCAGCAATGAACCTGTTGAGCACCTCTACATTAGTTATTATCAGGGTCAAGTGTGGGGTGCGGCACGCCACACCTGGGGGGTCGTATTGAGGAGTCAGAAGGGGAGGGGTTCGTAGTTAGGTAATCTGATAATAATGATAACATGATATTTGTATCATACCCATAATTAGCATGTCAATTAACCCCTGTAGACAAAGTGTGAGCGAATTCTGAAGAGTCAAGATACTAGGTTACCTAAATGAAATGGTCAAATTCCAACATGGTTAACTTTGTTTCATAGGTTAATTGACTATCCGTTTTTGCACTGAAGACAAAGCACTACTCCTTCTTTGTCCACCTCAGGAATCCCGCTTCAGAAGACCTGCAAACTGTGGTCTTAGAAGCCACAGTTTTATCGCTGAAATTTCGTCTTCGAATACAGTACTGAATGATCCGGTTAACTCTTGGAGAAAGATGCTCATCTTTCTTAAAGAAGCAGCCGCTTGCGCAGAATTACGGTGGAAACCATTGGAACGGACATCCGAACGAACCCGGTTTCTCCTCCGTCTAAGACGTGAGCTGAAGTTTGAACTAAAATCCACAAAATCCTCCAATGCTCAAATTCAATACGCAACAATTTGCAAAGCTGCTCGTTGGTCCGTAAAAGAGATCTCAACCAACATCACCGTCTGGTTTTGGAGCTTGCCATTAGATGCAATCGCATAAAACGTGGTCGTCTTGAACTTATCCGTCAACATCAACTTATTAGCCAATTGCGCCGACCAGACGGTATAATGACTACCAGCTCCACAGACGCTGAATCATGCACGTGCCTTTTTTGCTGAGGTTTCAGGAGAAGCAAAGCTCCGTCAGAGTTTCGAATTCATAGGCCTAAGATCAATTTAATCACTGCCGGAAGAACTAAGAAAAGCTGCCTTGAGAGTCCTGGTAACACTGTTCCAGGCATTGACGGAATTCGATCCAAAGCTGCTAGATACGGCGCAGAAGTCATCGCACCTCAAGTCGCAAACGTCATAAATCGATTATTTGAAGATGAAAACATTCCCGATGACTTAGCACATGCTTCGATGATATTCCTTTACAAAAAGGTGATCGTTATGACATCAAGGACTACCGTCCAATTTCGCTTCTACCAACAATTTACATTGATAAGGGCCTTGGCCTGGCGAGTGAAAGAAAAAGTATGCAAACGTTTATCAGTTGAACAAGCTGGGTTCCGACGAAACTTCTCGACCACTGATCACTTGCAAGCCATAAACCAACTGATTGAGAAAACACACGAATATCATTTACCAGTCGCACTCCTCTTCCTCGACTTTCAGAAAGCGTTTGACACGATTGACTTCAATGCAATTTGGGAAGCTCTTGCATATTTTGACGTTGATGTTGACACGATTTCGATGATCCGACTCCTGTACCGAGCAGCAGCTGCTTCGCTCAGGTTGACAACAACAGTACTCCGTTCAAAATACAGAGAGGAGTACGACAAGGAGACGCTCTCTCACCAATTATTTTCATCACGTGTCTTCAGTTTGCAATTGAATCAATTCAATGGAGAGATGGAGATGGATATGAAGTCGGTGGAAGACGACTTCGCTATCTGCGTTTGCGGACGATATTGTGCTTATAGATCACTCTCCAGCAGGACTTCAATCAATGGCAAAAAAATTCTTTGATGCCTGCGAGCACATTGGAAATAAAATCAACGGAAACAAGCCTAAATGGTTAGGTGAAGATAGAGGAAACATTTGGACGAATTCGACCAGCAGACTAAACGGCAGTGTCATTGAACGCGTATATTCCTACGTTTATCTCGGCAAACTACTACAGTGCCCGCGTAATCATGACAAAGAGGTGACAAGACGCATTTATATGGCATGGAATGTCTTCGGCAAAGCACGAATGTTTCTCACAAACAAAAATGTGGCCGTTTACCTGAAACGTCGTTACTTTAACACTGTAATTCTCCCGACTCTTACATATGGCTGCGAAACCTGGGCTACAACAAAAAGTACGATGATGATACTCCTCCGATATCAAAGAGCGATGAAAAGATCGATGCTTTTCGATCGATGGATTGGATTTCGCTTGAAAGACCGCAAATCGTCGGCTTGGATTCATTTCATTACTAAGCTCAAAGACGTTGTCGCAACTGCACGAAGAAGAAAGTGGCGATTCGCAAGAAAGATTCTAATGAATCAAGAGGGAGGAAGGTGGAGAGGAACTTTGACGAATCGGATACCAGGCACTCAGATAATCGCCGGGAGCAGGCGGTCTGCAAACTCGCGCTTTTCTGCAGGCGGTCAGCAGAATTTTTGGGAGTGGCCAAACCTTCAGCGAGCGGTGCTTCCTGTACTGTCTAATTTTCTGCCAGCGGACAGCAACACCGAATTTTCTGCAGGCGCTCGTCAAATAATCTCTTTCAGCAAACGCTGGCCGAACTTTCAGCAGGCGCTCGGACTCTTTTTACGTAGTTTCAGGCTTACGTCGAGCACAGGTAAGACTCTGTGTGGCGGAGGTGTCACTGTTGGTTTAATTACTCAAGTTTGAGGTACTTTCTCTAGCGGAAAGTACCCGGGGGCTGCGCGGTCCTCCACAAAGGACCGTGCGGCCCTCGAAAATTTTGCACATTCTCGCGGAAAGTCCGCGAGAATGCGACCACTGCGCCGCAGCTAATCTATAAGGAAACCGCGATCGTTCTTCAAGCATTCGTCAAATTTCGCTAAAATCCTTGCATATATCTGCAAGTGGACCGCAAGAAATCAGCAAACCATTTTCCGGTGCCCGCCCGCCCATAAATCGCATGGCCGCCTGCCCCCAGCGATTATCTGAGCACTAGCAGATGTTTTGGTGACGGCAGGCCCAGAAGGCGATGGGAAGATGACATTCAAATCCACTGTATAAACTCTAAAGCCAATCCTTACTGGCAAAAAGAATTAAAGGACACTCGTCTGGAAAAGACTTGGTTACTTATATGCAGTCCCATTACTGAACAACTGAAGCTATAAACAGAATCATCACGGTGCTTCTATATATGTAAACCGTTGAGAGTAAATAAGTAAATAAATAAATAAATAAATAAATAAATAAATAAAATAGATAAAAATAGATAGTGTAACGACTAAAAGTCGAAAATATCCTATTTCTGTTGAACTGTAAGTTGATGATATGCTTATTGAGAGATGTTGCTGAGTTAGGGTACATTACTGATGAGGTTGGGATAAAAGGCTACAGAAGTCCATGCTATGTTGAGAACAGCTTGACAGGTTTCCTTGTCGAAATCGCTTGGAGTCTGGACTTGCTAAACGCCAAGAGAATGAAGTACCATGCAAAGTACTAACTATGTACCTTGGTTGACAGACACTACATGAACGGTAATGGAAGCGTGTCTGGCAATTCTATCATATTGTTGTGATGAGCTTTAAACAACTTGGAATAAAATCTGTTTTATTAAACGCTAAAAGGAATCCATGGTTTGTTAAAGAGCAAAAAATACTGCATATTGAGATAAGTAGCCACCGCGTCAGACCGCATCGATGCCCATTGCATGCAGGTTATCTCCGTTCATGGAAGCACTCAGTGAGATTTTAACCTTGCAAAAAAATTTATTAGATTGGAAACTAGGTTTTGCAACTCATTCAATAACTTTCCTCTCTCTCAACGTGGCGCAGTTAGATTCTGCCATTTGTAGGCTATGACGTAAGCTACAAGCGCAGCTGCTGTTCTGCCAAATTCTGAGGTCGCAGGGAGGGTTACGGTAGGCATATGGTACAACAAGAAAAATTATAAATTTGTCATTTGGCTGAAACGCGAGGGGGGGGGGGTTATCTGATTGCTGATCATGAAAACGATAGAAGTGCGATAAGGGCTTTCCTAGGAGAGTTTTGTAAGCTTACGGTACACGGTCTCACACTAAGGCTCCCGCCAGAGTACCGAGGCCACGCTAGCGCCGGCGTAAACAAGGAAAGAAGCGTTAATTTAACAAATGAATATGATATTTGTGTTTAGCAGGTCAAATAACAGTACTATGAGAAGTCTCAGCAAATTTTGACGTTCTAACTCCTTAGTCGTTGACGATTGTCCCCAGCAGCCTTGCGTACAGCGACTCTTTCGAATTTGTGAGGGCGCCAAATCCCGAAATGGCCCTAAATTTTATTTCTTTTCTGCTGAGCCAAATGAGTCAATCCCTAGCAACAAATAATGCATGATTCCGGATTATTACGCATGGTCTAGGCTGCTGAAGGCTTCGTTTTGGCTTATAACCCCAAAAATTCTCTCACTAGTTTTGAAAAATGCCTAGAGTTTTTCTAATTCGTGTTTTAAATTCAAACAGTTTGTGCAAAATTGTGGCACATACTACCCTCTATCTAGAAATTGCCTAAGTTTGAGCGTTCCACATTCAAAGAGAGTAAAGTTATGAAAGCAGTTGCAAAATTTAGCTTCCACCCTAACAGCATGAAGTATATGTAAAAGATCCCGCATACTTGTGCATCTCCTCTTTCAAAAATTATTCCGACATTTCCTCCTAGCGAGTCTTCAGCGGATATCATCGAGCTGACTGGTACCGAAGAAGTTGTATACTGAAAGGTACTGTCACAAATATCTGCTCGGTTTTCTAATATGAACACAACATTTGCTCGAAGAAAGTTTCTAAATCTGAGGATTTTATCACTGCCCATATAAAATACATTTTTGGCTTGAAAATGGTTTCTATTCTAATTTTGACAACCTTTTATGATGATCTCGATTTAGAGTGGACTGTTGATAAGGCTGTCCATAAAGCTTCCAAAAGGTGCTCCAAGAGCTACTTTCCTTTTGGAACTTCGCATCAGACTCACGAAATGCTTTCTACAGACTCAGAAGTGGGTGGACTTAAAGGCAGTGTCCAGACAAATCTGGGCATATGGGTTTTTTGCCTGGAAACTGATGAGGACGTTCTAGCTGAAGCACTGCCCAAAACGCAGCGCAAATGATTCATTTACAGCTGAGAAATCCATCCCCAAACGCTCCGCGCCTGCGCCGTGACCGTAATACTTAGGATTAGTTCTGACGCGAACGTAGTGTTAAAGTGAGCAAGTCGTTTTCGGGTTACGGTCACGGCGCAGGCGCGAGGTTTTTGAGGACGGATTTCTCAGCAGTGAATGAGCAATTTGCGCTGCACCTTGGGCAGTGCCTCATCAGGACCCCTCATCAATTTCCAGGCGAAAAACCCATGCGCCCAGATGTGCCTAAACACTGCCTTTAGAGGCAGTATCAAGGCAAGTCGGGGGGCAAGGGTTTTTAGCCTGGACACTGGGTCATAACTAAGGCACGGCAGCGCAAATGATTTACATACGGCTGAGATATCCGTCCCCAAACACTCCGCGCCTGCGCCGTGACTGTAGCACGCAAGAGACTGGGGCGGGTCAGAGCGCGAACGTAGTGTTAAAGTGAGCGAAGTCATTTCTGGCTTACGGTCACGGCGCAGGAGCAGAGGGGTTTGGGAACGAATCTCTCAGCCGTGAAGAAATCATTTGCGCTCCTGCTTGGGCAGTGCCTTACTTAGGGCACCTCATAGTTTCCAGGCGCAAACCCCATGGGCCCAGATTTGGGACGCTGTCTTTAGGCACTGCTTCAGAAGTGGCGATGGAATGCTTTGGGTAAACGCCCTGGATCGATGAGCTAGAGTGTATCGCAAACGGTGAAGAAGTGGGGTCTCACAACGACTCTCCGTCTTAAAATTGGCGCAGGCGTCCAAATTCAAAAGCAAGGGCTTGTGGAATAGCCTTTTTCGACATTTTCGTGCTCTTCAAGCTGTATTTTCGAAATAAGCGGGAAGAGTAAGTACGCATAAGCGTACACTCAACGGTATGCTCGTCATAATTTGACATTTATGGAAAATTGAGATAATCGCAACCGATCAAATGTACTGTAATTCCCGCTGTAGTAATCAGGCTACATTTATTCTCACACAGACCTTAGAGGAAGTGGGTCGGCAAAATGGACCCTTCTCTGTTGGTGGCTTTAAAAAGTAGACCCCCCCCCCCTCCCACTCAAGCACACTGTGGCCCTCTCAATGGAAGTGGGCGGGGGTGGAGTTTTGAAGCGCATTTTTTAGGACTTACCGCATGAATTGGCAGGTGGAGTTTGGGCTAGAGTATACTAAAGGGTTTGATAGGCCGTCCGCGCCGTGCGTGAAGAGCAACGCTGTCACGTTCCGAAGATAGTTTATGACTGAAAGAAGCGCAGAGAAAGCAAGCAGCGGGAGCAGGGCTCGGCACATCTGGCACCGGGTCAAGCTGGATATCGTTTTTTGGGGCGGAAAGCAAAGGGATATCGTCTTTTCTGGGGTTCGGGGCGGAGGACAGCCGTAAGAATGCCGCCGGCATGCCGTACATCAAACAAACAAAACTTTCCAGCCAAAACGCAATAGTATGACACCAAATTTGTTGTGTGCATGCGCTTGGAGGGACCCGAACTATGGCCCAAATATTTATGAATACTTATGTGACTGAAAGGTGTGCTGAATTTTTTTCTGAATTAGTTGGGTGCCAGCTGAACTGGCACCGACACTTTGCTCACATAAGTTTTCATACTTTTTTGCATAGAATGTATCTACACTGTAAACGTTTACATACAGAGAAAAAACGATTTCATGATGTGTTATTTTCGGCGTTTTACAGGCATCTGAAAATTTTTTGATCTGCTCCGCAGTCGAAAAATCTACCTTTGTACTGCTTTTCACGCGTGATTCATCCACTCAAAAAGCTCAGAAAGCTCATGAAAAGTTATTCCATGAAATCAGCATGCGTGGAAACCCTATAACATACCTGTATAGAATCTAAATAATTATGACGGGTCTTCAAAATAGGTCAAAGCGGACATCGTATAAAATTTTCAAGATCAAAAGGGACTTCGTTTTAAAATTTCCCTGGTGCAGCTTGTGCCGAGCCCTGAGCGGAAGCGCACGAGAATGGAGGAGTGACGCACGGCACACACTTTGCGAGTCTCCGAGCCTTGCGCGGACGGCCTAAACCTAAATCTACCAAAATCTGAGAGAAGAAATAATAACCTACACGAATGCTTGATGACGCATATGGAGGTGAGGGAACTCCTTTTCTAGTGTGGTTCTCGTTTTTGCAACTATATAGTGAGCAATAGCTTCTCACACCATCCTTGTAATGAATCTTTCATGTACACACATAATAAAGATATTGGTCGAGTACCGGTGAAGAACGCCGTGCGAATTGTGAACTTGAGACTTGGCTGTCGAAACTGCAGGTATGCCTGTAAAAAGTATTGAACCAGAGAGAAAAGATAAAAGATTTCGCTTTATAGACGCATTCTTACAGAGAGAGGCAAGGAGAGAGAGAGATGTTTACTCCATAGTAGTCAACGTCCAACCGGAGTTGTAATCTTTGATTCAACTGACTTGGCGGCTAGAAGGCGGGGTTTTGTGACTCAATCATGCCATAGGTGGAGAAATTTCTCTACCCCCTTCACTTTAGGGCTGGATGTGGTCCCTCTTCCGTTGAGTTTGAGATTAGAATCAAGACATAACGGCAGAAGAAAAAACAGCTATTACAATGGCACTTTTTGTTTGAAAAGGAAATCCAGCGCTCTTCTCCTCAGACATTAAGACTGCAAGAGAGCATCGAAGCAACAGCGATTTAAATAAACGCTGTTGAGACCGCTTAGAGGCACCGTCCACCCTAAGTTGAGAGTGTTGAGCTTTTGGCAGCATGTAATAGTAGGGCTCCCTATCAATCCAATGCCCAAGTCGCGGCGCAAATTGCCGCTTCGGAAGCGAGAAAATCGCTTTGGAATAGCGAAGATGCACGAGGACCCCACCCATGCCCGCCCACTTGTGCGCGCCCATCCAATCACCATTCCGGAAAGCCGGCCTGTGGGTTCTCCGGAACGGGGATTGTCGGGGTCGGAATCAAGGACATGAGAAGGCCCTGAAACGACGAAAACCTGGAAGTCGAGAATCTGGGTGGACGGTGCCTTTAAGACCCCCAGTCGCACTCAAATTGGCGTTGATGACGGATCATAATCAAAAATTGAAAGGATGTCTGATTCCCTAAATAATTAACATTGTACCAATGACACTTGTCGCAAGAAAGAGTTGAGCAAAAGTAGAAAATCTGGACTGGCCAATGATGAATGCATGTTTACTGGCAAAAATCGCATCATGTCTCCTTTCACTACACAGAGAGAATAATAACAAATGAAAGAGCTGTTGGATTATTCGTTTCTCAAGCTTTCGAATCATATCTAAAACTTCGAAAAAGACCATCATGATTTCAGAGATGAAGCATCAAATAATTACCCAGTGTTGGCTGATATTGTAGCTAGATAGCTTCACAGGAAGGCTAGGAAAAAGAGAAGGTCTATGTCGATTTCTCGTGTGCTTAGCTGTAGAATGGTATACAAAGTTTTGTTGCATAAAGCTTTCACAGTCCAAAAAAGTAATGCTCCGGTGACCCATAAAAGCCAAGCCATTACGCGAGAGGGGTGGAGCAAGCCAATAGTAGATAACTCCACCTCATTTTTTAAAAGCCACAAGTTTTTTCACTCAACAATTTATATACCGTTAGAAAGCTCACGAAATGGGGATTTGACATAGACCGTCTTTTTTTCTCTAGCTCCCATCTCCTCAGAGATGCATGGCTTAGATAAAAAAAAACATGTGCGTTTTTGCCGAAGAATTCCTGCATGAAGAATGAATGAGGATGCCTTATTGTCTAACTATATTACAGAGCAAGACCTTGCCAGTAAACGTAGACCGTTTCTTCTTTATTAGCTTTCCTCTTTCTCTTGGAAATGGAGCTCAAAATGAATGCATGAAATCAGCCGATGCTGAAGCTGGATATGATTTTTTTTAAATCTGAATTCACAGGAGAGCTGAAAAAAAAAAGAGACAGTCTACGTTGATTCTACATGTTCTAAGCATCCGAATGGTATGTCGATTGACAAAAAGCTATTTTGAATCAAAAAAGTCTCTGTCCGATGACCTTCCAAAACCAAAGCATTGAGAAATTCATGATGTTACCCCTGTACCAGTGGCGGACCGAGGGAGGAGGGGGGGGGGGAGCCTCCCCCCCTCCGAGAATGGGTCGCGAAATTTTTAAAATTTACTTGGGTTATAAAAATGTGTAAGTGACTTGTTTATTCTTGTAAATAATATAAATAATTTTTAAAATTATTTAAAAATTCAAATTACCCTCTCAGGGATTCGCGCCGTGCGGACGGTCCTCCTACAAGGGCTAGCGTACAACCGGTCGACATGAGCCTAAAGCTTCCGTGCGTGCGGCAAACAACCGAAGCGCCGTCCAAGCGGCAGACAATGTTACCGTGCAAACGGCCGGCAATACATTTGCTCGAGCGAGCGGCCGGCAATGTGTCCGTCTTATCGGCCGACAGTACCAGTTGCCGTGCAAGCGGCCAACAGAGACCTATATCTTCTTCTCACAATTTCCACACATTGTGAGCGTGAAGTACCTGCGTGAGATACGACGCAGTGCTTACGCTGCCCAAAGCACTGACATGTCCTATTATCGACATCTACTTCACCAGCAAAGCTGAAATGAACCTGTGTAAGGCTGCATCTATCAGAGTCATGGTGTGGGCTTCCCCCAAAAGATCTGGGCAATGCTGCAGGCATCATCCATGTTCCCAGAATGTGAGCTGGATTAACATATCCATGAAAAATGGTAAAGATATCCCACTCGAAAATACCCCAACAGCAAGCGAGCGACCGATCTTCCCCGCGCAAGCGGCAAGCATTCGAAACCGTGCGTGCGCCCCACGCTAACCTTACCACCGGCCCTTGACGACCATACAATCGCACACACCAATTTGTAAGGCCGTTGCTGACCTCCCGCACGGCTCGAGTCCCTGAGCTTGTAAAAAAAATTTTTTCGGGATGTCCAGATTTTAGGGGTTAGGGAGCCGTAAAAATTTTGAGAAGCACCCTAAAAACTTTTTCGGAGTGCGTGGCTAACGCCATGCACCTTCATTTGGAAAAATTTTTTGCCGCCCTACCCCCAGTCCGAACCTGGGACCGCCACTGCCCCGTACCACTCATTTTCTCTCTTTGCATATCCCAGTCCCACTCGGCGTGTAAGCTTATGTTAGCATTCATCTCAAGGTCAGTTATCCTCTTCACTTTTCTAGATCGCAAATAGCCGAAACCCCGTTCACCTGGAGGGACCCTGCCCCCCCCCCCCCCCATCGCACCTATGGACTTCAGGTCCGCTCGCGCCCGCGACGCTGTCTGCGTCTTTGTCGCGCGCATGCTCTCTGATCATTATCTAGCCTTTAGTCTGCGGAGCCCCGCCTTCCAGCCGCCAAGGCAGTTGAATCAAAAGGTAGATATCTTTCTATCTCAGCTATCACTTAGCTTAGCATTGTAGAAACTTGAAATTGACAGTTTCAGAGCGTTAGTCCATAACACTCTTTTTGAGTTTTCTCGCTATCAAAGATTGCTACCGCACAAGCTGATAAACCTTAGCTCGGAAACGAATGATAAAACAGTTTTTCTAGCTGCATTTTGCCCTTGTTAGCACGTCTCAGATTTCTGAGATAAATGTGTCCAAAGGAGCTTAAGATATGAAGGGTGAGCAGGTCATACCTGTGCAAACCTCACTAAGGACAGATGATAAGGCATGAGAAAATGAAAGTACATTGTTGATAAGCAGATTTGGTTAACCGTTTGTGGGCTCACTAACATCTTAAGGTAAATGAAGTGATGCTATCCAGTAGTCAATCTCAATATTTTAGAGATCGTTGATGAGTAGGACAACTCCAGTGTTTCTAGGCTTGCGCACTTTAAATCACACAGTTAAATTACAAAATCACACAGTTGGGAAGAAAGGACGAAAGGCTTTGCCTTTCGTCCTTTCTTCCCAACTGCTCTGATTTTGTAATTTCTTTTGCAAGCGAATATAATATTGAGGTGTTAAAATTTAGTGATTTCACTTATGGAAGTTTGTAGTCGATTAATAATCTAGTTTGTGAACATACAAAAGTGTAGCTTACCACGTGGGAGCAGAGTCATCGTGAGATACTGAAAATAAATTTTTTTGCTCGATATTCTTTCTTAGACTTTTTTCAGTTCTGAGAAAGGGAGGTTGGTAGCAGAGTAGGAATTAGCGCCACCACTACACATGATGGGCTGAATAATAGTAACCGCTTCAGCATTTGCAAACGTCATAACAATTTAAGATGTCTGCGCTATGTGCAGCCTGCTATAGATGTCGCGAAATAAAAGGGATTTTAGGTAGCTATGCATAAATGTGGCAAAGCGCAATTAACAAAATTAGGCTTTTTTCTTGAGAAAAGAGTGCTTCTGCTGACACAGAAGTCAAAACCTACCAAGAATGGAGTCACCGCTACCACCTTGTTCGTTGAGGTTGCTGCAGCTTTTCTTCCGAGAACTCGCTGATTTAGTCAGCATTGTGGACTGGAACAGTAAAGGATTGTTATCAACGGTAACGTAACAGCGAAGCTCATGGCGAATCTTAACACGTTGACGACGAGCTATTTTTTGACGTCTATCCCTGTGGACAAATCGCTTCCGGGCATTTTCACAACCGGCTGCATGTATGCATGTATGCATGTATGTGTGAGGTACAGAAATGCAAGTGGGCGGGGTTGCTTCACCCACTTTTGGCAAGCTCCGCCCACTTTTCGAAAATGCTGGAAATTGCTCAAAATCAATGAATTCGTGCAAATTCCAGCAATTTTGAAAAGTGGGCGGAGCTTGCCACCCAGGGGGCGGGGCTTGCATAATGAGGGGCGGGGTCAAAATTAAGATTATTTAAGGTTCCGCAGTCATCTACGAGCTTTTCTATGCGATTTGAGAACGAAAAAAGTTATTTGTAAAGGGCAATGGAGTGGGCGGAGTTTGTCAAAGGAGGGGCGGGGCCAACATGAAAACTTCTGAGCCTAAATTGATTATGTGAACACAAATTGGTACCATTTGCACATTAGAATTGGGATTTAGGGTGTCGCTCACCATTGCGCGACATCGTCCACGGGGACAGACCGCCTGTCGCGCACCATTGCGCGGCACTGTCGTCAACGTGTTAATACGTGACTGACACATGCTATCATATCTACCTTTCTCGTTGGAGTGCATGCTCGCAAGCCAAGTTTTCCTCCGTTCACTTTTTGCTAAATTAGAAGGTTTGTTGTGTTTACATTGAGGGTACATAACATTTAGTATTCTGAGAACGATGGTTCTAGCCGGAAGAGAATGGGATAGAAGTGTTTTGCGCGGAGGGAGGTAAAAGCGTAAAGCAGTCTTTGTATTGTTTGGACGGGTAGTCCTGGCAGACCACAAAAATTGCTGCTGTTGCGTACTCACTAGTTGTTGAAGTTGGAGGCTATGTTCAAAATCTTCTTTGTGGGAATGACCACCCCAATTTTTAGCAGCACCACTTTTGTTGAAGCGTAGAGGATTACCCTTTCTTTTGCGACTTGTGAGTAACATAAATCACCTCTGTCCACTGTTTGGGCCTGCTAATATGAATTTTCTGCATCATTCTCTGGCAATCTCCATTTTCTCTAACTTGGACAGAACATGTGCTATGGTTTTGGTCTTCAACAAATACACTTCCTCACTTACTTGAATTTCCTATAAAATAGGACATACCTTTGAAAGACTTTTCTTTAGGCGACAACAAAGTGCATATTTCAGATGCTTTAAAGCAAGTATATAAGTTTATGACTGCAGATACAGCTTTGCGTACCTGTTGAGCATTGGGAAGTCGTAAAAGAGAACAACCTATTTGCGGTTGTTACATTATCCAGTTGACTAAAACTTGACAGTGGCATACGGCATTCGAAAGACTATATTGCGTTACCTCAACCGCTTTTGCAGTTCGTCTTCAACAGCAGTCTCAGCCTTAATATGTTGTCCTTTGGGGGACGACAAAAATTTGTCACATAATTTGCAGTCGCATGCAAAATTATATACATTAGGTCGATGTAATGTATTACAGAACTCATTCATGTCATCTTACTCTCTTTTCCGATTATTAGTTTTCTCAGTATGGCACCTCACAATCGCGTAATGTAATTATACAGTGCTGGCCAAAAGTTTGCAGCCACTGTGACATTTTGCTATATCTTACTCTGTTTAACACAGATCGAGTCCAAATTTTGACATCGTGTGCAAATCACACTGCTTAACATTATGTCAAGAAGTTTTCCAGTTTCATGCAGACAAAAGGATGCATCCTCCGATTCTGGTCTGATCCAAAGTGGGACACCGTATATATGAGATTAGCGTTTCAAAGCGAATGCAATGATTCACCGCTTGTTCGATGCCTGATTTGAGTTCAGACCATTCTCTCGTTTTTTATGCCTTCCTCTTTTACGCTGTTCTTGTAAGCTCGTGAAGTAGAAGCATTCTTTGAACAAAAAGAAATCTGTACATTATAGTCATGGATGTCCGCAGAGTCGCGATTTGGCTTGCTCTCAAAGCATATTGCATCCTAACGGTAGTGTTACATCGTTCAAAATAGTTCACTAATTGTAAGCTCAACTTTCTCGGAATATTAACGGTATGCATTCAGTAGATAGTGCAAAACAGCTTTCATCTCTTGTTCTTCCGTGATTTCAGAAAAAAGATACTTTGAGGTTGTGCGCTCAATATCCAAAAAATTGAACAATCACGTTTGCAAGATACCTACTCAGACAATCGCCGGGGGCAGGCGGGCACCGGAAAAATAGATTGCTGATCTCTCGTACCCCGCTCGCGGATTTTTTTTGGAAAGCAATCAGGACTTTTCGGAAGACCGCTTGCTGAGTTCTCGATTCCTCAAAGATTCAGCAATATATCTGCAAAAGACAAGAGCGAAAAAAATTCAACAGGCGGTCTCTCAAAAATCCGCTGACTCAGCAAGCAGTCTTCCGAAAAGTCCTGATTGCTTTGCAAAAAATCCGCGAGCGAGGTGCGAGAAATCAGCAATCTATTTTTCCGGTGCCCGCCTGCCCCCAGCGATTGTCTGAGTAGGTCCGTGGAAATCTGTAGCGAAGCTACACGCGCCCCCATCTATACAAACATCTCTACTCCTTCGTGCATAAGAATACTGCTTGAAGACAGAAATCCCAGTTCAGGTTACGCCCATGTGCGATTTTCCACAGCGAAAACTCAAATTTTCTCTCAATGCTCATGCTGCTACGCTTTTACAAGATAGGAGATATCTACAAGAAAGCACCTTCGTTTTTGAACTAGCTGACAAACTCCAGAATTGCTTACATAAACATGGCTTCAGACCCTCAGCTCGCAATCTTACCTCTTTCTAGATTCTGATTTTTTTTCCTGGACCAAAATGAAAGCAAGGATCGCTCTGGATATTGACGGCAAGCTTGTACACATAGCCGTGGTAAATTTTGGATGAAAATTTTGGATGAATTCACTGACAAACTGATGTTACATCGTTTTTTCTGGGTCACTTCAAATTTTAGCCGGCACTGTAGCTGAGTGAGTATCGTACCTATATCGCCGAAAACGGGAATTTCGGAAGCTTGAACTCGTGTAGGTCTTTGAAAGGCGACTCGCTAAATCAAAGTCTGAATTTGAGAAAAAGCACAACAAACGGCTTACTAGGTGCCTCGCGCATGCGGTAATCGAATATGCTATGAAGAATACATACAGAAGGACCTCCAGCATAATCTCCACTTCACTCCTCCTCTTGCATTCAAGATGGCAAAGTGAATGACAGATGCTCTCCTTGACGACGTTAAAAAATGATGCTAACCCACAAGTCTCTTTTGTGCCTAACAAGTTGAATATCGCGGTTGTGCAATGTGCGGCAAGATATCATTTCATGCAGGGTGTTCGAAAAATGGCATTGTCCCTTCCCAGCTTTAGAATAAGGGGGCATTGCGAAACAGATGATAACAAACTTGTCAAATCTCTATTTCAAAGCATCGTTCTACCTTTTCGCAAACACAGTTTGTTTCCCAAACTTTTCGACAATACAGCTTTAGGCTGCTACAGTCGCTTCATTTCATATGATCATGTGTGTCATCGCACACACAGTTCACCTTTGGCGTCCCCATCCTGGATTCGTGGGAGAAACAAGCCTTCGGGTAAGTGTTTCCAAGGTGTTCTTAGCATTTTCTTTCCTTTTTAGTTACTAGTCACCTCAAATTGATGTAATCGATAACAATCGGTAAGTCTCTTGCATTTTTGCGATTGCAAATCCAGGATGAGGACGCCAAAGTGGGTGTGTGCAATGGCACACATGATCATATGAAATGAAGCGACTGTACCACTCTGCTTGTTTTATAATCAGGAAGACCATGATTGTATTGATACCTGTTATTCATTCTATCAAACATTCAGTATTTCTCTCGTATACTCAGTTACATGTGAGCGCAGGTGGTCGAAGGTTGGTCATACTTTAGGCTTTGGCCATACTTTGCCCGTGTTGCCGATGTTTCCAGTGTTGCCAGTGTTGAAAGTGTGGAAAGTGTTGAAAGTGTTACCGGTGTTGAAAGTGTTGCCAGTGTTGATAGTGTTGAAAGTGTTGCCGGTGTTGAAAGTGTTGCCAGTGTTGAAAGTGTTGAAAGTGTTGCCGGTGTTGAAAGTGTTGAATGGAGATCATCAGTCTAGCAGTTTCATTCTTTCTCGAACGATCTCACCGGCTGGTGAATACGTTGGAAATGGAATTGGGGGATGAGAAATGAAACTGAAATGAAATGGATAATGTTTTCGCATTCTAAAGATCCTCAAACAAACTTTTTGAAAAGTGGACGGCTTGTCTGGAATAAACATTCCCCAATATTTGAAAACGCTGCAGACCTCACTTAGGTCCTTTACTCACTAATCGCAAACGCGGCAGGATTCGAACTAAAACACATTACTACTCAGACGTCAGCTTTCTCAAATATTGGAGATTGCCTATTCCAGATAAGCTGTCCACTTTCCAAAAAGTTTGTTTGAGGATCTTTTGCATGCGAAAATTTTCCCCATCTCATTTCAATTTCATTTCTCATTCCCCAAATCCATTTCCAACGTATTCACCAGCCGGTGAGATCGTTCGAGAAAGAATGAAACTGCTAGACTGATGATCTCCATTCAACACTTTCAACACTTTCAACACTGGCAACACTTTCAACACCGGTAACACTTTCAACACTTTCAACACTTTCAACACTGGCAACACTGGAAACATCGGCAACACGGGCAAAGTATGGCCAAAGCCTTACTGCAGTCACTTTCACCGATGAATGCAACGCTATGAGATGCGCTTCCAGGCGCATCTCATAGCAAAATTCCCATTTTCCCAAATCCCATTTCTGTAGGTGTCCTCAGTGGTGATTACATCTTCAAATGTTCCTGATACAAATTGTCCGGCTGGCCTACGAAAATGTACAAATGCTTGGTATCTTATCATTCGACGCCAATCGCTCAATAAAACGGTAACACTAGTGGCAGCGGTGGTAATGTGTGGTGGATACCTCACCTGCACCACTAGAGAAACGAGCACTCGCAATTTTATGTCTTGTGCTGATCGAAAGTTCTGTGCTGTCTGACTAATAGGAAAAACGACGCGAATAACATCGCAACAACTTTGTGTTCTCTCCCAATAAGGAATTCGTGAGCAAAAAGATTCTGCACTATGCAAAACTTTATAGATCCCTTCAGCCAATTTCAAAGTTTTAAATGTAAGTAACTAACGTCGTCAAAATAGCAGAGCTCCATCATAGCAATTACAGCACTACAGAATGAACTACCTGTGATTAGTCAAGCTATCAAGATAAGCAGGCTTATCGGACTATTCTCTTAGGCTTGCCATACTTTGCCCGTGTTACCGGTGTTGAAAGTGTTGCCGGTGTTGAAAGTGTTGAATGTGGGAATCATCAGTCTTGCAGTTTCATTCTTCCTCGAGCGATCTCACCGGCTGGTGAGTTCGTCTGGAATGGAAATGGGAAATGAGAAATAAGACTGAAATGAAATAGGGAATGCTTTCGCAAAAGCTCCGCGAACAAACTTTTTAGAAAGTGAAGGACTTGTTTAAAAGAAGCAATCTCCAACATTTGAGAACGCTGCAAAACCTCCCATAGGTCTTTTGCTCACTAATCGCAGAAGCGCCGATTCGGCACCTAACACGCATTCTCATCAGACCTTACATCTCAGGTGTTGGAGATTGCCTATTCAGAACAAGTCCTTCACTTTCCAAAAAGTTCGTTCGAGGAGCTTTTGCGAAAGCATTTCCTTTTTCATTTCAGTCTCATTTCTCATTTCCCATTTCCATTCCAGACGAACTCACCAGCCGGTGAGATCGTTCGAGGAAGAATGAAATTGCAAGACTGATGATTCCCACATTCAACACTTTCAACACCGGCAACACCTTCAACACTTTCAACACCGGCAACACTTTCAACACTTTCAACACTGGCAACACTTTCAACACCGGTAACACGGGCAAAGTATGGCCAAAGCCTTAGTAGTACAGTTTCTTTCAATACATTATTGGTCTTCACTACCGTATGCATTCCTAGCCTCAACATGACGTGGATTGCTGCGGCGCCGCCTCGCTTCGAGCCTGCGCCACGTTGCGGACCCATCGTTTGGCGTGGCGTGGCGAGAAAAGAAACGTGGAGCAGACTTTCTTGCGTTGTTTCTGTGACCACCCCTTAGCCACGCCACGCCAAACAAGCGTCCGCAACGTGGCGCAAGCACGGAATGATGCGGCGCCTCACCATTCCAAGTCATGATAAAGATGAAATGCATGCAGTAGAAAAACATTATGCATTGAAAACAACTGTACATCACCCTGTATAAACTACTCATTCAGCCTAGAAATCAGGGCGCAGCACGAGGCTGCATTTGAAAGATAAAATAGCAAAAGGCGAAAAAGAGGGCGGTTTTTATGCCATCAAAGGTCATATCAAGCCAGAGGGTTGAGAAAAGTACTCATAGCTAGAGCTCGATCTGAAGAATAGATTTATGTGCAAAAATTCGAAAAGTTACGTGAAGAAAGAGGAAGATTATGGCTTTGCTTGGTCCCGCGCAACCTCAGAGTGCTCCCAGGTCGCGCGGGAGCAAATTGAAACAGATAAACTTTAACGACTCCTTTCACTACGTAATTTTCTTAATAATATATTGTACTTTTTCTCCGGTCATAGTCGTGAAGGGTCACTGCTGGTGGCTCGATATTGCTGAAGCGATGTAAGCAAACCGATTGTTCACCTTTTAGTGCATAAGATTGTGTTTTAGGAAGTTGAAATTGTGTGCACGCAATACAGCAATCGTGTTTCTATTGTGTCTCCTATGTTAGTGTTGAAATGACATTATGTCTCAGAATTGGGCTTTTTGAGAATTAGTATTGTGCTTGTTAATGAACTTATTGTTAGATTTCCGGAATCTATCCCTTGAGAACTGTACGGGTTCCTCTTTGGTGCTCTTGAAACACCATACTGTGAAGCTTCAACTTACATAAGATTTACACTATGAAGCGAACCACCGATCGCTCTTCTTGTTTGAAGGCATTTCAAATTGTGTGGTCACATTATTAAGCAGCACTGTATGAACAGCTGTTACGGTTAACGTGGCGAACGAAGAAATCACTACGGTAAATCTCAAAATTCATATTTAGCGTCAGCAGCTCTGATTACGCTGGTGTAAAAGTTGTTAGGCTGTTCGATTGCCTCTTTGAGGCCCATTAAGGCGTTCAATGCCTTAAAACACCGTTTAATATTCCTACGGTACCCTTAGAGTAATAAAGAAAAAACAGTGGTTCGCTCCGTACTATGAGTCTAACAGAAGGATACTTGTTGACCGTGGCCTTTCCAAATGAAACGTGCACCATTAGATGGAACGAAGCGCTGATTCCATATCTGCTTTCGAATCTGCTCTGCGCATTTCCGAAAGAAGGTATGAATATTTCCTGCCATCAAAGTTGCACTGTTGTAATGATAGCATTAACTGATATTGTTAGAATGTTCAATAACGCGCACAAAAGAGGGTTCAAATCAAAACTGCACGTTAAGCTCAGAAAAACTGTCTCGATGTATCAGAGTCTATAAAACCTAGATACTGATGATTCTGACTGCCTAGATCTCGTAACTAATATGGAAAAAAATGCATAATTTCGTTCAGAGAGTCGCACAGCAGATAATGAGCATAAAATTGAAATCAGCGTTCCAAGGTGCATCTAGCATACGTCACACTGCAAATTGCCACAGTCACCAAGTATCCTTCCCTTGTAAGTAATGCCAGTGCCCAATCCGTTTTTCTTTTCAAAGATCGCAGGAGCCACAAGAGAGCCAATAAAAATCAAACGTTTGTTACATTATACAGGCCGTCCTGTACAGGCAAAAGTCTGGGAGCCTAGTACTTTTTCTTACAAAACGAGAAGGGAAGTACCTAGAAACGAAAAATTTGGCGCACACATAATTCGAACCATTGCAGATACAGCCCAGTTCTTGAATTGCAAAACTGCCTCTTTTGGCTTCCACGCAGCCCTACAAAATCTTGGCAAGTCCACCCGTCATGGCACGCAGATAGTCGTAATGGAGTTCGCCCCACGCCTTTACAATAACTGCTTCTTTTACCTTGGCAAATGCGCCGCATGATAGAGCAAACTTTTGTCTACAATATACTTCCAAAAGAATTTTTTGCATTGCTTAGGAATAAAAATATTGGATTTTCAATTAGAAGCAAGTGTAGGTCGCATACCGGAATTCTGGCTACAATTACGCGAATAAAAACTTAAAATATCGTTTAAAAAGTATAAAAGTGTTCTCATGGCCGAATTTCAATAGATTCTAATTTAGAAGAAAAAATGCAAAAAGTACAGCCTTGGTCCCAATGCTTGTTGAGCATTCTATCGCTTTTAAATTTGTTCTGAAGACGGATTTCCACTGGCACGTAGGTGACATTCGCAAACTTTTATTTTCCGTTCATGCAAGAACAGCTTCTTGCAAAAGCAAAACTAGGATACAATAGCGCAAAGCCTCTTCTATGTTGTATGCATCGAAGTTTTGTAAAATATTGACAGCATCTCTAGCTACAGCAAAAATTGTAAATACCAAAAATTCTGGTTTTTTCGCTTTGCAAGAGTACTAGTTTGGTAATTTCCATTTTTACAAAAACATATGGCAGCCATTTCCAGCCAAATAAAGTGTATTCTGTAGAGGATGACCGCAGCATCATGCATAAAATTGAAATCAAAACCATCAGTATCTTTGTAATTGCAGTACTGCAAAGTTAGTCTCCCAGACTTTTGCCGCACCCTGTATATTGAAAAATACTTGTGCTTCGGAAATACTTAGAATCTATCAACTGCTTTTTTGTTCGCGATCCAAAGATAGAATAGTGCTAAGTAAGAGGTCTAGAAGTTACTTTTGGTAATATCGATTTTTATGAGTAGACTCTACTACAGACCATTTATAATGCGTAGGTGAGGATTCGCTACTACTCTACATTTGCCTTTTTTACAAGAAATGCGCGATACTTGGAGGCCATTAACGCGCTTTAAGGTCGCAGTGGTTGTCGAAGCTTTGTTGTAATTTCCACAGGTGATTCTACCATTCAACTTATTTGCTTGTCACTTTCTTTTTCTCGTTAGATTTTACTTCTGGTTACGTCTCTTTTAGCATTTTAACACATCAGTTGCTCGGAATCTTTCGTTAAGCACGTAATTTGATCAGTACGACTAGCTAGCAGTTCATCTATCATTCAGGAAGATGTTAAAGCAGGAAGCAGCACACGCTTGCCACATCCGCTTATAGAAGTAAATGGGAAGCTTTGAACTTCCTCGCGCTTTTAGCTGCTTTATATGCCCAACTGTTGTCGATTAAACTGTTCGAGCATTGTTGACGATCACGGAACATGTGTTGATTTTCTTAGCAGTTGTTCAAATACAACTGAATCAAACAAGTTCCCAGTAAACATAAATTGTTTTATCACAAATTACAAGAGGCAATCAAAGAAAGAACATTATAGCCCGTAGACTTCGTCAGTTCATTTGAAGTGAGCTGACCCCCTCAGAAAAACTCCGTAACTCAGACTTGCGAACACCCATCCTTCCATGCTCAGAAAGGGAGTTTAACTATCAGAAGATCGTTCGCCGAGTGTTGACTTGACAAAGATAATATGCAAAAGCGAATCATCAAAATTGAAAAAGGAAACTGCGAGCAGATTAAAGGACGCGTAATCGACATGATGCCATGGACGACAAGTGCGAACTGAACAGTTTTGGAGGTCATGGGAAGGGGTGATGAACAACTGATTGCAGCCACAAAGATAGGAGATTTTTATCAATTTTTGCAGAGGGTGCTCCATTTTTTCCAGGAAATTGCTAGTAGAATGGAAATTTTCTGTTCGTTCCAATCACTGTAGAATGCCATAAGTTCTATGTTGAGATATTGTGTTGTAATTTATCCCTCCATCCGATAGGCACATTTTGAAAGCGATGATCATCGATTTTTGACATTGGTCGTTAATAAAGATTGCCCGTTGTCATAGCAGAAGGAAGGTAAAAAGCCGGTCTTGAACCATTGTCCTCTTGCATGTAAGGTATGAGACTGCATAAAGGACTTACCGAATGACTTCATCGAGCAGACTGGGTAAAGTGCAATTTTCCCAAAGCATACGGTGTTCTCGTCTACGATGCAGTCCGCACCGACATCGGTGGAGCTATTGATACCGCGCTGAGGCGCCGTCAGTGCAATTTAGGCCGGCCTCAGCAGAGAGATGGAGGGTTTGCTACCCCTAAACCTCTCAAGACTGTTTAGATTCCCCCATAGGCCTAATTCTAGCCATACGATCTACTTATGGTTCTTCTAGGTGCATCTACCACAAGCGTAAATATGAACATATTCAGCAAGTGCTAACAAAATTCTAGGCTTTTTTCTGAGTTCGCTTCTTTTGCCTCAGATGACATGTTCGAAGACAAGTAGAGTCAGTTTAAAGCAGTATCTGGTTCTGCTTTTCCTCTCGCAGTTTTTCCGTTTTGTTTTTTATTTACAATATACAAGAAAATTGCTATGAAAAAAGCAAGCATCGCAAGAGTCTTCAGTGAAGTGATTCGATAACAGCTAAGTAAGAGAAGTTGTGCCGCTAAACGTAGTACGTTGAAGCTCTCAAAAAGGAAATTTGTAGTGATCAAAGGCGTGAAGAAAGTAATCAAATCCTTTACTACTTTGATTCTGCTAGCCTTCCTCTGCCGCTATTTAGCCGCGAAATTGTCTGAGGTACGTATTTATACAAGCATCATGTATTATATACCGCGTATTTATGTATTTATGTACGTATTTATATAAGCAGAAGTAGCAAGCCTTCCCTGCCTCGTCCTCCTTCCAAAAAATGTAGAATAGTTTAGCAAAAATAACGGGACAATGATTGTTAGATAATGTGGCCTCCACGATAGTATAATATGAGCTCTTCGGATCATTAATGTTTCAATCGTTTTTCTCTCTTTTTCACCAAAGTTTTTATGGTTTTTCTCCACGTTTTTTTCTTTTTTTGCACATCACAGAGTTTCAACATGGGTAACAATTTACTAACTAATAATTACGATCGGTGTTTACAACAGATACAACAACTGGAAGGAACACTGGAAACAACCACACATGAGTATGGTAAGTCTGTTGTTAGTCTGGATACGCACCAAAAATTAGCAATGATGCAGTACAAAAGAAGCTCGATAGACAAAAAAAATCAACATAATGAGACCCACGAAGCTGGTTGCCCTCAACGTGAAAAGGACAAACTCTATGAGATCTGTGTATGTATTCACATCTAGAAGAAGCAGTCACCATAGTATCGTCATAATAATTCATAAGATGAGTGTACAAACTAGAAAGCTGTGGAAAGGTCAGCAACAACGATATTGCCATCAAATTACAATGGTGACTATAGAACTCCACTACAACTAATGTAAAGCAATAAAATATTCTACAACTACTGCGCAAGAGGAAGCTCAATAACTGCAAGCGATAAAGCGAATTGAAACAGATAGTGTCCATATAATAGCGAGAAGAAGGTGACTGCGCAAGCGTACACCCCATACAGTCTTATTGACCCACAACGATGCCAAGCTATTTTACCAATGTTTGGGGGATCGTGACAATTAGGAATTCTTTTGAAGCAGAGGGTCTCGAACTTGCAACTCAACGTTTTGCAATAATCCAGAGATTCTTGCGATTTTCCACCACTGTGGGTCAATGATGACTCTATAGACTATGTCTTAATGGAAACAAAAAAAAATTGATTTATCAGATCAACCTCTGAACTTATGTTCCGCTTATTTGCAGAGATAACGCGATTGCTACTGAACCTTTTGATTACTGATAGCGACTCAGATAGAAGGTCGTCGAAGGCCAAAAGATGGTGCATTTAGAGTAAAAAAAATCAGGAATGCACCACTAAATAATGTTGCTCTGCGTCGAGCAATTTCCTGCAGAATTTTACGAATCTACTCAATGTGTACTATCCAGGAATTTCAAATCCTGCTTAGTTTGTTGATCAAGAAAATTGGCGATGATCACTCCTTCCTAGGCGAAACGTTCCAGAAATCGAAGTGCAGATGATTGTTCCTCTGGCTGGTGCTCTTCTTTCTAGAAAGCAATACGAATAGAAGTACTCTGAATTTTGAACATCTTGTCGCTATCTATATACATGGAACTCAAAGTCTGTGAGGATATTCATCAGGTTGTTTGTTCGTTTTAGAAGCTGTTGAACCGGTTGAAATGAAACTTCGCGCACGTATGGTTTCGACCCCCGCGGTTGTCTAGAGCTACTGTGGCGGTTCACTGAGCCCTTCTATCGATCTATTGATTTTTTAAAAATGAAAATGTTTGCAATGAAAATAAATTGTTATCAACCGCTATCAAATCAAACGGCCTGCACATTTTGTTGTAAACATTGGCAGAGAAATTCATTTTCATTTCGCAGTCAGGAGGATGCGGTATCCAGATGATGCTGCTTTGAGGTAGACTTTTGGAACTAAAATGCACCGTGCATATGGATATGGGCTTTTGGACAGGAGAACGAAAGAGGGGAGGGGAATGGAATGAAGTAGATGGAAGCGTATGAAAGATGGAAAGCGTAGGGTTGGATCAGGCTTCGCTGCGTATGCAGCGTACGCAACGTGCATGCAGATATGGCGCGTACGCTGCGCAATCTGGTCCACCCGTGGGCTATGAAGCAGGACATATTTTTGAAGCGTTTCTCCGTCCTTCCTTTGGCTCCTTGGCTCATGAAGCGGGCAAGACCGGGTATGCTAGTCGCTAATAGATAAGCCTAACATCCTTTTTTTTTTGAATTATGATGTGAGTGTCTTACCTCTAATTGTCGATCAGTTATCTTGTCACACTTGCATGCAGGTGGATCACAGCAAGGAGTGAGCTAAATTATGATGGTGTAAGAAACTAAATACGTCAGCAGCCCAAAATCCCTACCGATTTGTCAAAATGACCCAGCTGGCTCGTTACTGGCACAAGCGTTTCCCTGTGTTCACGTAGAACTTCAGCAGCTAGAGCTCTCATCTAAAAGACCACTTTTATAGCAATGAAGCCTTGGAAACATTCTTGCAGTATATACCTGGAGCACAAAATCGTTTTCTTCAAGAGCATATCGTTCATAAGGATCTTTGATCACATCGTACACAAGTGGAGGGTTGTGTACTCTCAGATGCTCATCTGGGCATACTTGCGAAACATACCTGCAAACTTTTTCATTTTGATAGATTGAGATTTAACGACTACTACCGTACCAGTCTGCCCGTGGTTTGCCGTTGGGACAGAAGTAAGACAAATTTGGGTCAACTGAATCATTGTAGAATATTGGCGACGTTTTGTAGTGTATCTGAAACACTTGTTTTTTATTTGACTAAATCATCATCTCTTGCAAGCAATTCAAGTTCAACATAGTGCTTCAGTGCCGAATCAAACGAAGTCACCTTGATATTTCCGATCCTTATTGCCATCAGCTTTGTATTGCAGTAGTAGATGATTGGCCTTCTTCTGCCAAGATATCCAGGCCTTTCATCGCTGACTCCACGAAGCTCATCTAAGATGTTCGTACCATCCAGTGGTAGCTGCGGTTTTGACTGAAAAGTGTGCCCTTGAGTTCCGTGGATGCATGGATCGAAGCAAAAGCTACATAATTTTTCATTAATAAGGTAATCGGCAATCTTCAGACGATAAACTATACCCTGAAATGGCAGTCCTGCATGTCTCTGAAGGTACGGTAGAGGTCCATACTAGAGATAACTTCATTTGAGACACGCCCAGCTTTTACAGTACCCGGCTGCCAAGCGATTAATGGGATTCGAAATCCGCCTTCGTAGGAGTTCGACTTACCGCCTAAAACCACATCTGAAGATTTGTGACAACCAGTACTAGCACCGCTTACCTTTCAGGCCAGCAGTTGAGCCACCATTCAGGCACAGCTCAGCATGGGGACCGTGGTCAGACATCAAGATTACGAGTGTGTTCTCTGCGATGCCAGCGTTCACGATGCTGTCCAGAACTTCACTTACTGCCCATGACATCTCGTTGATGGAGTCTCCATAAATACCTGGAAAGCTTGTTTTTTATTTTGCCTTGTGTGGTATACTATCACGCACAAGCGGACATGTTTGTCCCCACATAATATTTATTGGGAAAAACCCTATAGAAGTGCAGCCGTAGATCTTAGCTCTTCAAGCTCTAGTCTCCGAGAAATCTTGATTTTGTCGGAAACACCCCTCGTAGTCAATGCCGAAGTCGATAACTGTCAAAAACGCCTGTAGGTAGTTGAAAATGTACGGTTGTGCTTATTGTTTGACTGGTTTGTAGCATACAACCAGTGGCGTCGCAGGATTTCCGTCTGGAGGGGGGGGGGGAATTTTTTCTGACGAAGTGCTTGACGTTAGATACGCATTCCCTCCGAAAAAATTTTTGGGTGCTTCTCTTAACGGCTTGTAACCCCAAAATTTAGAAAAAGGAGACGTGGTTGCTGCCATGCCCCAAAGGAATTTTTTAAGGCTATCTTGATTTTTAAAAATCTTAAAAATTACTTTGATCATTTACAAGCATAAGCAAATAGCCTTGGTAAAAACATGAAAGTTTCTTTTCAATTTTCAGTCAAAAAAAGAACACAGCATTGTTAATATTTGTAAATGTTTGAAGGAATGTGCCATGCATGAGCGAGTGAGAAATATGTAAAGTTTGGATGCTGTTCCGAATTTCTCTCGATTTTTTGAGTACTTGAATCTTTTTAGTTCTTGGCTCCCAATTTTAGATGGGGAAGGTTGGTACGGATTTTTAAGCACTGTCTTGTAGAGCTTGCTTTGCTATATCGAATGGCACCCTGAAACCTGTAGTAACTGGGAAGTGTTGCTCACTGCGGTGAAAAACAAAGTGTAACAAAATTTCTGTAAGACCTAATTTATCTGATATCATAAAAAAAACTATATGGAACTTCCTCAACTGTTAGAAGTTTTTAATCACATTTTTGAAATTGGAGTAGTTAGATAACTTTCTCGCAAATGTTCTTCATATCTTTTTCCATTCATATTCAGCAAAAAACTTTGTAGAAGTCTTAAAGCTTTTCTTCAACATATGCACCGGAAGAACTCACCTCTAACGGATGTGCCAAGAAAAGCTGGACTTGCAAACTGAGTGCTGTGGACTTGGGGGAAAGAAAAGTAAAAGAAAAATGGCTTCTTATCTTGATCCTGAAACAAGTGGATGTTTTTCCTCATTACAGTTGTTATGGCTAAAACTCACCGTCTGCATTCTTGTACGCAAGAATCTTCTCCAATCATGCACAAGATTCTCGGTCATCCACTCGAAACGCATCGGTTGTTGCACGATGTCGTCGCCATCGTATAGGAAACACATCGACGGGTCAGGCCCACTCGGATAATATTCCTGTAGGAACCTTCTGCATGTTTTTTTGCCACTGACTCCATTTTGAAAATTTTTAAACAGATTTTATTTACCCAATTAATTTGGGTCACTCACAAAAAAAACCTAAAGAATCTCCTATTAGCGTTTTCGCCATGTCCCCTACAGAGTGAATTAAGGGCTGTTGCTTATTCTTGCAGGAAAATGTGCAGCGCGGTGTTGATTGCCGCTTTTGTTGTAAGGTTTACGGTAGCTTGTTGTTGTTGTTTTGCAGCATATGTCGAGACAAAAGTCAAATACCGCTATAGCCGCATTCATTGCGAACCACTGAAGTTCGATCATTGCTTAATGTAAGTGACGTAAATCTAGCTGATTACTGTGTGCAAGTAACGCTCAAGCGTTCTAAGAACTCAATCAGGCAATCAAGCATTCAGCGGTCGTTAGTAATGGATCACTAATCGTGAGGTACAGAAAGTACTCGAAGAGCGCCGCTTGATTGCTTCATTGGGTTCCGCTTCCTACTCCAAAACGCTACGGAACTCGCCAATTAAGAACTGCTAGGGAAACTTCATTGCTGACCTTAGTGGTATCACACTGCCATGCGTTCGTAAACGGTAAGTTAAGTCCGACGAAATCAAAACCTCGTCGGGATGGAAGATGAGCGCCATCGGTTCGATTGTGCTCGTTTATGCCCAAATGCCATTTTCCGATCATACCGGTGGCGTAGCCTATAAGCGTTGAAAATTTAAAGATTAGGCGCGAAAACAAGTAGAACTGAATCAAAAACATAATGATCAAACAACATTTTGTTCAAGTCTATATACCAACTTAAACGTTCAATTTACAAGCCGTTCGAAATTATTCAGGATTTCTAGTAGAAAGTCAGTAAGTTTGAGATCAAAATGGTGTCTTGCCGTAGAGGCCACACACGAATAAAAAAATGGCTAGAGCAAAACTCAGGTTTTGTGCATCATGAACAGACTGAGAATAAGTGATAATTTTAGTACGTAAAACTTCAATTATTCTGCTGTGCCAAACAAGCATGTTATGGTGGGATCTTTATTCGAATGGCCTAACGTATCGACGCAATTGAAGACTGAAAAAAGACAAAAGACTAAAATTGAAGATTATGTACAATGTCCAGGTTTCAAGAAATAGGGAAATTCAAATTATTAATGTAAGACTGTTTTTTCTGTTGTTTATATAAGGGACTTGGGACTCACATCTGTTTATCAACCTAATTCTTGCCTTTATTATATAATATTTTACCTCGAAGCTAACCCTCAATCTTGCACCCCTCGATAACTACTGTTAGAGAGGCACTAAGGAAGTCACACCCATCTAGTTCTGAGCTCCCGTAAAGTTGCTTGATTCAGATCTCAACATATAATTTTTTTGAGTGCTGCTGACACCGAGGCACTATATGGACTCTCACATCCGTAATTCTCGTAAATATCGTAGGATATATACTATGTCCTGTATATTTCAACCCAAAGTGGCACAAAAAAGAGATCTCTACCTGCTTCCTTGAGCATCTCGGCCATGGTTGTTTCGTGCTTTGGTAAGCCCCCTATATCGTAGGGCATGAATACTCGTCGTCCACCAGTGACCCCAAGTCGAATCGGTAATCGACCTGAAAGGAAAACGCTAGAAAACGCATTCGAGGCAGAAATGAGATTTACAAACCGGTCATGAATCCAGCTCTGCTTGGGCTGCACATACTATCGGCAGAGTATGCTTGTGTGAATCTTGTTCCCTCATGGGCCATTCGATCTATAGCTGTGTATTCTTGGGTCGGATGACCGTAGGAGGCAATGTCTCCAAACCCTAGATAGGTGGTGAATTCGTTCATTGTGCTCAGCATCTTAATTTCTAGTAAAGTCAAATGATTTTCACAAATGACTTGTTCGTACTTTTGTTGATATTTTTTTCACAAATAAGCTAATACCATATATCTTTAGGCAACCTCCTCCCCTCCCCTCCCCAAAGTATAGTCAACAATTCTACTAGTAAAAACTTGAGCAGTCGTAATGCAAACTCGAGAAGTGAATTGAGGGAAGAGCATGACAACTTCAAGACGTCAGCATCTGTGAGCTCCTTTCTATGAAACCTACTCTGTGGACATCATTTTCAACTGAGCTACAAAGCTGTTTCTCTTTCTCAAGTTCTATTGTAAACAATCGTGAAGCTCTTTTACACTTGAACATCTCTAAAGGGTTTGATACATCAATTAATACTGCTAGACCTCGATTCAAATTTATGACAAGGCTTAGATTTTACTTGATTGATTTGAATGTTGTTGTTGTTTCTTGATTTTTGTTTGTTTTTCTGGCGTTGACTGGTTTTTGTATGTATTTTTTTCGGGAAGTACATTGTTGCCTCACAAAACATATTGTGTGGTTTGCAGGTTTTATATCAAGCAGCTGTGATGCTGCGTTCGTAATATGTACCAAGCGCTGTTCCTGCAATTATGCTGGAAGTGAAGATAATCACGTCAATCCTTTGTAAGAGGATTATAAGGATTATATTCTATCCAGGAACGGCAATTTAGTGTCGAAATCAAAATAAACGTTTATAGACGCAAACCAAGTTTTCCTATAATGGGTGCAATCTCAAAAGGTTGCAGGTTCTTCCTCCACGTCTCTCGATGCGCATTCGAATACGAACGTGAACAGGCTAGTTTGCAAATAGAGAATACTGTAGAGCATTCATCAATGCTCAAATGAAGCTACATAGTGTTCCTCAAGAATACCAAGAATGCTGTTTATTGTTCAGTTGTTACTAATTTATAGGTCTCTAATCAAAAGATGAAAGTTCAAGCGATGACATTTTGTACTAGAAGAAGGAAATCAAATTATGTCAGAGCTCATTACGCTTATTACGCTTACTTACGTATGACGATCATCAGGGGATCACAAAATGTACAATTTAGAGATTGTTGCAGCAAACTAATGGGCAATTTGCAGAATTTGTCTACTACACTAATGGCCTTTGATGCCAAAAAAATTTTACCTACACAGACATTATTTTTACTTGGTATCCAGTCCTAGCCATGCGAATAATGATTTGCTACCTGTACAAGTGGTTTGACTCGATGACGTGGGCTTATAAATATTCATTGAGTGGGTATAGGGGCTAATAGAATGGAAAACTATTCCTATAATTGCACTATGACGTTGTATTATATGAACACTTTTTTTCCAGTTGTCCGGGTTGGCACTTTACCTGTTCATAAATGAGGCATTAGTAAATTTAATTCATAAAATCCTGCAATAGGCAGCTGGTAAGATTTACTACCTTTACTACCTACTATTTACCTTTACTACCACTATTTACTATTTACTATTAGGTTGGTCCGAAAGTTCTGTCCCACCATTTTCAAAAAATCATATCTTCCTCCTATCATGATGATTTTGCATGGCTAGAACCTTATTGAAAAGAGCAATTCATGCGCTTTCTAGAAACATTTTGACTGCTATCTATTAAGCTCGCAGTGCAGAGATAATATTGGAAAAAGGAAATCACTTCAAGTTCGGAATTTTTGAGCAAGCCCGTTGAAAAATCCAAAAATGTGCTATGAAATCCAAAACAGCTAGTAATCTAAGTTTTCTGATCCCCTCTTTCTATATAAGCAAAATTCGCGCTGATGGAGCTCTTCCTAGAAAAGTTATGATTTTCAAGAAAAAATGCCAAAAAATCTGCTTGTTAAGAAAAGTGATTTTTTGACTTTTTTTCAAAAAATCATAACTTTATAAGGAACAGCTCGATCAGTGTGAATTATGCTCAGCTGGAAAGAGGGGGCCAAAAAGTCTAGGGCAGTGGCTGTTTTGGATTTTATGGCACAGTTTAGGATTTCTTAACGGGCTTGCTTAGAAATTCCGAACTTTAAGTAATTTTCTTTTCCCAAGTTTATCTCTGCATTCAGAGCTAAGTAGATAGCAGCCAAGGCAGCTTTAGAAAGTGCGTGAATTGCTCTTTTCAATTTGACTTTAGCCATGCAAAAACATCGTGTTAGGAAGAAGTTATGATTTTTTGAAAATGGTGGGACAGAACTTTCGGACCAACCTAATATCATAGCATCAGCTATTAGTTGGCTAGAATTTAGTGACAATTCGAATTTTTATTCTTAATCTCAGGGAGTAGTTTTAAAAAGGTAACAAACCATTTTTCATGATAAAATGATTGCCACGTTCATCTTCTAAGTTTCTAACATTCCGATGATTCTATAAACCAACCTAAGTCGTCAACCATCAGAATCACGATGTTTGGATGCGATGGCGATGGTGGGCGAACGCACGAAGCACAAACTGAAGTGATGAAGACGCATATGAGGAATATGTTCATCCTGAAAAGACTGACTTGAACGCTCGAAGAGGATTGCTTAGTGAATGAGCGAGAGGGGCGAGTCTGCGAGAAAAACTGAAGTTGGATAAGATGGTTCAGGCTCCCCATCTTCAATAAGGGGCGTAATGTTAAGAAAATGTTGATGAATTGGTAAGTATTTTACTACAGCTACACGAAAAGAATCAAACCACTAGTATGCCTTGAAAACACAGAACGAATTCAAAATTGATAGAGCTAATACTTGTGCTGTAAATCTATCCCTCAGAAAGTCAGAGTGGGTAAATGCTTAACGCTCAAGCCTCCTTTAAGAAAAACCCCTTAGGTCAATGAGTGTAGCCCAAGATGATAAGAATGCGTCGGCCTCTTGATCTTCTATGCATGTTGGCTTCGTTGACGAAAATTTATTTCAAATTCGGACCCATTAGAATATGAGGGAACTGTGCATGCAGAAAAAAATCCCAACGTTTCATAATCTTGGTGCTTTTGAATGAGAGCAACACGCGAAAAATTCAGTGCAAACTCTCTTTTGAATCTATCTCAGTTCTGTGACAATGAATAGGTTGAACACATTAGAGCTTGATTCACAGCTAATGCAAGTCAAACACCATTGACAGGCGTCGGCGCCTAGCTTGTGCGATCTCATGGCAATACAAAACACTTACTAAGAGGCCCTTTGCTAATGGCATACATAAGTGCATGTACAATTAAAAGGTGATAAACTAGGAAATGAAAGACGATAGCGTCATTTCGTGGCATATATTGCGACATTTTTTTCACATAACAGACCACTGGGTAGGAACTTGACTGAATCGTAGCATGACAAACAGGCGTACTGTAAAGTAGTCTAAAGCAGTAAGACGTTGTCAGTGAGTCATTGTGAAAGATTCAATAATTCGAGTATATAGATATATAAACAAAGTGTATTTTCTCTTAACTTTGCTAGCCTTTACAAGTAGATATCCATATGGTTATGGGTTTAGGGCTTTGTGTTTTGTCTAGTTTCTTGCCCAAATATTTCTCTGGCTTCCTGAGACTGAGGGTTGGCTAATCTCTTGTCTCTTGTGTTGCCGAAATTTCCTTTTTAGATTTCTTTTCCTTTCTCTTCTTATGTATAGCGTGCGCATTTATAAAATAAAAATGAAAATAAAAATACTCGGCGAAGATGTATGACAACGAATCGCGGGACGAAGAGGAAGTGGAATCTAGTGAGTAATATCAACAGCCCATCTTCGGTTGAATGGATGTCAGAACTTTGGTCGTTTGCACACCAATGAATCCAAACAAGGAGATTTGACATTAAAAGGTGATGAAACGCGAATTACGTATGAGGCTAGCCAAGCTTTTTTTCGCAACACTGCTGTTATTCATCAAAAGGTAAAGGAAGCTTATGATTTCTAGGTCTGACAGAATTAGCTTATGCCAACATTTGCAATAATCAGAGATCTCTATTGGTGGTATACATGGCACTATCCTCATGGTAGCAAGTTATGAAACTCGAGGTGAAAACAGAAAAAGATGCGTTTTGGTTCCGTGACATAGTAAATGAAAGGGGAGAGATGTCAGCATATAGGTCCCACGGAGTTAAAACCAGGAGCCACCTTTCTCTAAGAATTTATTTCAGTTTATGTTATATAATCTTCAGTATCTCCTTTTTGCTTTAGACGTTGCTCGGCTTACAGGATGCTTTACACGAAGAAGCGACAGCTCTGCCTTACTATTGTAAAGTATTAAAATTCGTGTAAAAGCTGAATATAGAAGTAACGTGCTCCGAATAGTGAAGCGTAAGCTGGTGACGGTAGCTATACTGATTACTGAGCGTTAAGTGGTATTAGCATAGATTAGCCGGCTGCCACTAACTGATCATCTCTGCAAACAGCATAGATTATCAACGTTATCTCCTTTACGCAGAAGAATTAGATCTTTAACGTGGAAGCGCATTCACGGCGATTACGGTAGCTACAGACTTCAACGCTGAAGGTCTGCTGCATTCATTACTTTCTGCATTTTTACAGTTCATAAGAGCTGCGACAAAGCAATGCCTTGGCAGTAACAAAACAATTAATCCACATCCAACAACATATCCTTCAAATAATTCTAAAGATAGTTTTTGAGCATTTTTTTTATTGTAATGTTGGTAGACGTTCAGCTGTCCTATAACTCCAGGAAGTGTATTTGGAACGAGAAGTCCCGCCGCAGATTGCGGAGGTAATCAGGCATAGAATGCTATCGCCTCACAAAAAGACTTGTAATGAACCGGGAATGGTGAGACCGCCACAGAAACATCCTCAAGGTTTCTCGGCCTATTTCTAATCTCAGTACTACTTGACTTTCTGCGACTCTCTCCTGAATTGAAGTTTTCGGAGTCTAACCCAGCACCTGAGGTGTATGATTGCATGACTAGTGTACCAAATCGCCATCGTTCAAAAAGACCTGTCACAATACCAGGTAAGTTCCTCCGCATCATGATGACTGTGGTCAAACATTCCCATACAAGCCATAAAGGTCTCTCGACATCCGTCAGCAGACTTCTTCATAGGGAATAATTAAGCGGATAGAAAAACGTCCTTTCCAAATTTCTCTATCTCCCTAATTTCCGTAAATCCGCTATCCCCATTTCATAGTGTTGTATATCCATTTCTATAGAACGATGAAAAGAAGGAGATTCCATATACAATGAACGTCTGAGAGCTTCACCAAAAAGGTCGCGACTTCAGCATCTCATTACGTAGTGCCTTTAAATCTTGACTTTCTTCCTGGCTAACTTCCTAATGGTTAAAGAACATCCAGCCAATATGTGCTTGCCATGTTACAAAAAGGATGAATAAGCGGGACGGGGAATAGACTTTACAGTCGAGCAGCTTTTTTTAATCAGCTGCCCATCTCCCAGGATAGGTTGAATGGATCCCAGGTGTGAGGGCCTGCGCTCCAACGTTGTGTCATTGCACACATTAGCAAAGATCTTTTCGACTATGGATTATTCAGTCAAAATCGATCCTTAATGTGAAAGACCACATTGATATCTAGTAAAGCTATCGAAGGATTTGGATTTTGGAAGTTTATCTACGAACAACAGAAGGAAGTGCATAATGGTGCGAATTAGTTCGTTCCGTTGATACCGTAGTGATCTGCGAAAAGTGCGCTGTTGGTACTACAAATCGAGTTGTTTTTGTGATTTCATGACACTAAAGACACTGTCTTTGATTGAGAAGCGTCGAGCAACTCGATATCGGCATGGAACGCAATGAATATCTTCGTGCGAGTTTCGCAAGTACACTAATCACATGAGAAAATGAATAAAATGAGTCAATTAACACGTTTCGGAGCGCGAAATCGCGCGCGGCGAAAAAGAGTGTACTTTCAGCCGTTAGCCTGCAAAGGGACCTTATTTCGCAACCTGTGGGGCACATCTGTAAAGAGCATGTCAGATAAGCTCCATATCCAATGTTCTGAGTAAATTCGAAGTGTTTGAATTTTGTCGCTTGAGAGGGACTTTTGTGCTTTCTTGAAAGATAGGAACAAGAACTCAGATTCTAATAGTATTCAAAAGTATCTATGTTGTACACGGCACACATCAGTATTGAAACTACGGTTTTTCTCTTTGATATCGAAGCAAAGGAAAGTTTCGATGTCGCACGCGTCGTTCGCGTCGCCGCGCTTCGTTGCAACTGTTGTTCGATTTGTGCTCATATCTCCAAATATCGGCGGCACAACTCTACAGAGTCATTTGAAAAGTAGGAGGTTAGACCTTTAACTTAACAACTTTAGACCAAAAGGAAACCTCCTGCAAACGCCAGAAAGATCCCTCAAAGCAGCGTGCTGCACCATGTGCAGCACCGGTCCGAAACGTGTTAAGCGATGAGTCATTTGGTTGATTAAGCATAACATCGCAATCTTGTTTTAGACACTTGTAAGTTGAAACCCAGGCCGTACCTAAGATAGTTGTGCTATCTTATATATAAAGCTGAATGTCTGTTTGTATGTCTGTCTGTCTGTATGTCTGTACGTATGTTCCGAATAGAAAATTCCATTTCTGAACCGATCCGGACCAAACTTGACACACATACACTTCGGGCCCGGGCGGGTGTCATAGGCTACTTTTCGTCATCGATCGATATCGATTTTATCGATTTTTATCGATTTTTTTGCTGAGTTCACCTACGGGGCTGGGAGTTGGCACAGGGGGGTAATCGAGCATGGGGATTCCGAATACAATATTGGTTTTCAGGATTATCGATTACTTTTATCGATTTTATCGATTTTTTTGCAAAGTTTGAGCTACGGGGCTGGGAGTTGGCACAGGGGGGTAATCGAGCATGGGGATTCCGAATACAATATTGGTTTTCAGGATTATCGATTACTTTCATCGATTTTATCGATTTTTTTGCAAAGTTTGAGCTAGGGGGCTGGGAGTTCGCACAGGGGGGTAATCGAGCATGCTGATCATCCCCAAGGGGGGTAGTTGAACTCTGCAAAAAAGTCGATAAAAATCGGTAAAATCGACATCGATCGATAACGAAAAGTAGACTGTGACACCCGCCGGGGCCCGAAGTGTATGTGTGCCAAGTTTGGTCCGGATACGGCGGAGCCGGGTAAGCCAGCTAGTGTTACCATAAAAATCCTGCAAGATAGCCATAAATCCAAGATAATCTCGTCATACTTATCTCTCAAAGTTTTTATAAGAGAAGGGACAGTATCCGCTTACTGTTCATCAATTACGCTAAATGTTAAGCATTGTCAACCTACCTAGAAATTTTTTTGACTGTAATTTGAGTAGTCCTAGCAAAAGGACCTATCTAACAGAGTTTTTATAGTTGGAACTTGTATCTCATTGTCAGATCTGCAAACATCACAAGAATGACGAAATAGTAAGCAGATCCAGCAAGTGTAGCTACAAATTACTACACATAACCAGCCCGGAGCTATATGAGTAATCTGCTACAGGAAGTGAATGGCAAGCAAGAGGAACGGGAAAGGGATGTGTTTGTACAGTGATTTTTGCTC